CTCTTAATGCCTTTGGTCAGGTTGAGTTTGGAACTTTCGCTTGGCCATTCGTCCTTTCCAGACTTTTGTTCCTCGAGGACGATCACTTCCTCGTTCCTGCCCAGACCAACAAGGCTCAAGGTCAACGTCTTTCCATTGTAATTAGGATTTGCAGTGTTGTCCTTGATCTCGGTGAGGAGCTCACGGTGCTCGCCGATTTGAAGATGTATGAAGGTGTTGACATCAAGGAGCATTTTGTCTCCCGCGGTGGCCACAATTTCAGCACCGGGGGCTGGAGAGACACTTCTGGAAGCGGAGGGAGTGAGACCACCCGAAGCGGTGGCATTTTTCAGGCCTCCCAGGATCCTCCACACTCTGACTTTGGTGTTCATGTCGATGTGCAGGAGCCTCTTGCCCTCCTTGAGCCAGTCATTGCACAGTGTCTTCTTACTTGCAATCATACGTTGAGGTGGGAGGTCCTTCTCGCGTTGAGTCTGTGTGGTGTGCTCACTAGGCACCTTGAGGAATGAAAACAGTGGCGGATTCAGCTCCCACGTCACATTCGGCATTGCTGCGTCTGCACCACCCCAATCGTGTGCATATCTAGTAATCACAGGAGAGTCTTTTGCGAGCCCGTACCATGAGATTATCAAGTCCCATGCTTCCTGGGGAAAGACTCGATAGTCCTCATCGAGCGTGAGGCCGGGCCGGAGGGGCACATATTTCTCGCCAGCTTCATCCGTCAACTTGACATCCTCGTCAATCACCATGGCAATGTCCGAATTGTCAACAGGGCCAATTTCACCCTCTGTCGCTGATTTTTCAATCTTTCCCACGTCAGCAGGAAGAGAGCCACGGGCTTGGACTTTCTGAAACCATTTTGCAGAGATGAGGTAACCCTTTTGGCCTTCCTCCAGCTCTTTCTGCCACAGTGCCGTCACCTGTGCGATTTGGTCGTCGATGGAGGGTATGGACGTAGCAGTGGATGGGACATCAGCGTCCAGCGACGTGGCCGCGGTAGAACGGTTAGAGGGGCTAGGGAAGAGGGAATCTGTGGTAGAACTGCCACTATTATCAGACAGAGAAGCCGCGGCGCTTTGTTGGACAGCGCGAGGATCACTGTTGTGAATCAGTCGATTCGTCGCTAATATGTCGCGATGTCTCGAGCCCGTGTCTTGCTGCTTTGCCTTTAGGGTGTCTTGAGAACCTGTAGGCACAGTGTCCGGGTTGACGGGAGTGAACCCGGACCCAGCGCCTGGTATTTGACCCTCGCCCATTTCTACGTCACTGTTGTAGGACTCTCTATCCTGGGCCCCCATATCAGACGCCGGCCTCTTAACAGCAGGGGAAGCGGAGCGCAGGTGCCTGCCTAAATCATCCTTGGATTGCGAGAGGTTTTGGTTTTGGTGATTGGGGTGTTTTTGAGAGGAAGCGGGCATGTCCCGGGCGGGAGTGCTCGGAGGGATAGGTGGTGAGGAGGTCCAGGTTCGTGACTTAGGCCAGGACCATGGACTGGAGGGAGCAACAGGGCGGAAGGCTGACTGTCGAAATAACGAACGTGTCGAAGATGAGGGTCTGAAAATGACGCCCGCGCAGAATGTGAGGGCCAGAGTCGCGAGTGGGTACCAGACTACCTCACTGGCGGTTTGCCTGCGCTAAGAAAATGCACGGCTCGGGTGAGGCAGTCACTGTGGTGAAGAGCTTGACGGTAATAAAATGGCACTCCGGATGCCGCAGCCACGACTGAATGGCGGAATTACAAAGAGGGGTGGTGGATGGCTCCAGAAACCATCTGGTTCATCCAAACAGAGGCTGATTTTCGGTTGGCAGGTCCTGTCTTCTGAAAGGACAATTCATTCACCCTTTTCGAGAGTCTATGAGCCGAGCCGCCGGCCACAATCATGCGAACCTTCGCCTCACCATCAAATCCAAAGTAGACAGCCAGCCTTCCGCCCCCCCTTTGGGAGTCCTATTAATCATCCCAGCTCGGGAATACAATCATGTGCTCGGGCTATTATACTAGTGAGCCACGCGTAATGCAGAGTCATTTTGTTCGCTTGCATCATCCGTTCTGATTAAACAAGGCCGACATGACAGCAACGAGGCTTCCCACCGCCTCACTGGTAGCCTTGTGCCCGCTCGTAGCCATTATTCCGCGCTGGATAGCTTCATGGAACAACCAAGGGCTTTTCGGCTCATCTCGTGACAATCTTATCCACCTCATCCATCGCCTCCGACCACGTCTCTAGGTTCTTCCGGGCCCATTCGATATGGCATCGCGCATACGCAACCTAGGAGACCATAAAAGTTAGCTTGGTAAACCATATGCCCAGATCTGACACCAGCAATTGTTCTTGGAAATACGCACCATATATCTCTGGAGGTCGTCCTCTTTCTCCTTCTGGAACCTCTTTAGGTCTCGCATCACTCCCTGAGTTGCGTCGTGTACGTCCTTCTCCGACACTTCTAGAGCCTGTTCCAGCTGAGACAGGCTTTCTCGTGTTTTTCCGATCTGATCCCGCCTTGTCCTCTCCGGGTCAACATCCACGAAGCCATTCACGGCATGTCTGAAGCTGCCAAATATCTTGTTGGTCACAAAGTTGCCGCTGGGAGACTTCTTGTGCGTAATCGGCGATGTTGGATTCTGGTGCGGCTGTCCTTGAGCAGCCGAAGGAGGCGATGATGGAGGCTCGCCATGGGTAGGTGGGAAGTCAGAATCAACAGATTCAGTCTCTTCGTGCTGCCCCTCCCTCCTCTCCTGGGAAGCCCTGGCAGAAGCATTCGACATCGAGCGCCGCGGTGGGCTTGCTAGCGTTGTGCTACCGGCTAGATATGCATCGATGCGTTTCGCTTCTGACTCGCTGCGCTCGAGCTGATCCAAGAGATGCCGTTTCTTCTCCAAATCCTCTCTGGTCATCTCTTGCTGCACTCGTTTCAGGACTCTATATTTCAGCACATTGCGGACGACGCCCGCAAATTGTGCACTCTCCCTCATAGGCTCGGCAAACGTGGCGCCAAAAGTAAGTGCTAGCTCCTCCGTAGAGATATACGTGCTATCCACGGCCTGCCCTATGCGCTCAATTGCTGCTGCCACAGTAGGTGACTGCTCCGAGAGTGAGAAGCCATTGTATCGAGCGCCCAACTCTGCGAGATCCGCTGAAAGCTTGGTTAGATGCTCGATAGTACGGCGGTTCACCTTTTCGATACTGCCTTGCAGCAAAATCTCTAGTTCCCGCGTGTTCTGCTCGAAGTTGATAAAGTAGGGGTCAAGGTCTGTTTCGCTCAGTCGCTCCGAATTAAGGGGAAACCGCCCAAAGATCTGAGGACCGGGTGTCGTATGTGATGCAACTGAGGGGAAGGTCTGATCCGGGGGAGATATAGGCGTTCCAGTGCTTGAGATCGGGCCATATGGCCTGAGTTTGGCGGAGGAAGATGGGATAGGCAACCAGTTGTGAGCAGGTGTCGGATTAGCAGGATCCAGAGGTGGTGCTTTCAGATTATTCTTCGGCACTGAAGCGACTGGATGGGCGTGCAAGACTTCGTTCTGCGCAGAAAGGTCAGCGTCCTAGTAGCTGGGACAGATAATATGGCCTGCAATTACCCAGCTGGAATTAGGATCCAGGAATCTCCACCAAACGCCGTCTTCAACGACCTCCTTCATTCTCCGGCAACGGTTCAAGAACACGGCAAGCATACGTTTTCGCTGGTCGATAATGCCCACGTCTTCCTTTGCCTTTGTGGGTTTGGCGGCATAGTCTGCCATTGTGTGTTTCTCGGGGATCGGAGGAATGATTAAGGTGGGATGCAGATTGATCAGGGCGGCGCGCAGTGAGCTGAACTCTGAGTATCTCCTCGCGACTTCAATGTCCTGCAACATCTGTCAGACATCCATTCAGCTGTCTCCAAGTCCTGCGGGATGTGCCTACTCCAGTCCGAATCTTGTACACAATGTAGCCTCCATCCGCGCTTTTGCCTGCTTCTGTTATGACAATCTCAAGATCCGGTTGTTCATAGAGTATCTGCTGAACTCTACTGTCGTAGCCACCCTTAGGAGGGACGAAACCGCTCTCTGCCGGTCCCTCCTCTTCCTCCTCCCCCTCATCGCCATCATCGTGGAACTGGGAGGCTGGGTTAGAGGACGTAGTATATGAGGTCGGCGAGGTCGGTTGGTCTGAGTCTGGGTCTAGAATGTTAGCGACCAGATCGGATAGGCTCGATGCAGGCTCGCATACAAGAGGTGCCTAGAGTTGGATTGGAGGGTTCAGTGGCAGAGTCCTGGTTATTAAAGGACCCATACGGGTTGTTGTCCTCGTCGTCCTGCCACATCTTATGCTGACATGCGACGAAGAGGCTATGAGGGAGACTGAAATCTGATAACTAGACAAGAAGAAAGTCTCAAGGCTTTATCGTAGAGGTTCCATGATTCAAATACAATGGCAAGAGACAAGGCACACCTTCAATTGTTGGAGGAACTTGGGACGTTAGATGCACTCTCACCCGCCTAGCCACGTCATTGGTTGGTCTCTCACTGCGCAGCTCGGTCCAAGCCACTATGGATAATATATATTAGCTTCAATAAACTCCGCAAACTCTCCCGTTGTTTGATCACCCTACGAGGTGCACTCACGACACACCTGCTGGACCTCAAGCATGTAATGAGCTCAACGAGCTGTCCGCAGCAGTGGCTGGTCTACCTAGCTTGCTGCAAAACCCAGTCCTTCTATGCACGCGCTCCTTCGCGCCATGGAATGCGCTGGATGGCCAGTGGTCCCTCAACGTCGTCGGTGATGACAACACGCTTTGGGTGCTCGCGGGTACGTGGAGGGGCTTCCTGGTCCTCTTAAACACTTTCTACACCCTCTCTACTGTTGAAGTTGATATGTCTCTTCTCGTCCATGGTACAGCCAACCACGTCGTTGCCCATCTTGGTTTCCAACTTCTGCCACCACCACCGCCCCTGATCCCAACACCGTATCCATGGCCATAGCCATACTGGTATGGTACAATCTGTCCGTTCACGGTTATTGAATGTACAGATCGTTCAGAGGCACTCTTCCACTCACCGGCTGCGCCATTGTCGCTGAGTGTGGCCACGCATGCGCGAACCACCACTTCCCGTTTGCCTTTTTTTGGACACACCAGAAGATCATGGCAAAAATGAGAATAGCCCCAAGGACCACGCCTACAATCATACCCGCCTTGTCACCCGTGCTCCATTGATTCCAACCGCTGTCGTCAGGGTCGACCACGTAGACTAACTGGCCCGAAACCCCGGTATGTGTCGGATCTGGCAGAGGAGAACCTGAAATGGGAATGGCCCAGGTTGAATAGATGTTTCCTGCATCATCTTGAAGGTAGATGTCTAGCTCGGTCAGGGTTACCGTCGATGTCTGCGTGGTTATTGTCGGTATGGGCGTGTACTTCGTGGTGGTGGGCGCAGTGACGGTGGTTGTGGAAGGTGAGGCAAGTGAATCAATTGTGACGGTTTGGCCAACTGTTGCAAAGAGAGTCGTGGACAAATGAGAAGTCACGGTAGTGGTAGTGTCGGTGATGAGTGTTGACGAGACCACGACCGCCGTGGTCTCTGTGACTGTTGAAATGATGAAAGTCATGTTTGAATTTTTGACTCTGACTACATTACAGAAGGCTAGGAGGAGAGAGACATTGATCGGAGAAGACGGTACAGAAAATGAAAGTGGTCAAGAAGATCGAAGCCGGTGAGGTGATCAGCCAGCGGTGAAGGGTGAGGTCGAAGTGTCCTTCCTGGTCATTTCATTGTACTTGGTCTGGTTCTTCTCCGCGTGAAACCACCACAATAAGTCGACTCTCCAATCTGCTACCTTCAAGATCCAAGCAAACAACGAAGTCGTAGCAGATCAAAAGCTGTCCGCGGCCGAACTCCCAGATTGTGTGCGCTGCACCTCCATACGCATACGCGCCATGTCCACACATGGAGATCTCTTCCATGAAAATATGCCTCTGACTCGGACGTTCGAGTGAAGACCATCAATCAACCTGATCCGACGGCTTGCGGTTGTCCTTCTGCTGCTCTTCGTTCACCTTCCTCCAACATGGCCAAGTGTTCCTGCATCATCGGCATGAAGAGTTTCCATCCTGCCCAGACGCAGATTGGCGTAATCACCACGAAGCATATCAAGATTGCTAGGCCTGCGTTCATATTCTCCAGTCGGACCGATAAACGATTCAATTATGGTTGAGCCAGAATGGTGATGCTTAGTCGTGGAGATCAGCCCTGTTGTTAAGAGGAAGGAGAAGATATGTCACATACGAGTCTTTTCGAGGGTCCGGAAAGCACACGAGTGCTAGAAGTCGAAGGTTGAGCACCCAAGCAGTGTGTTATATGGACGAGCAAGGGTAGTGGCGTCGGCACGTTCGAGTTACACAGATCGTTTGTCCATGGATAAACATCAAATTGGTGGCTGCACGCTGCCAAAATGGTGTTTGTGATTCACTCTCTTCGCAACGCGCGTTCGACCGCACCCAACATTACCGGATTGACCCGTGAAGTCCTGCATATTCCCTGGATTTTCTCTAGAGTGGCCCGCATTTGTTGTGTCTCCAAGACTGTGTCGTGGTGAATGAGAACTCCAGCCAAACTGACCACCTGAACCATCAAGACCAGGACTGTGTGGTCATAGGTTACCCCTAGTGGATATAGAAACAACGACTCGAGAAGGGGATCGAAAGGCGTGTCCTTGTGCGTGTTGTCTTCCGGTCCAAGGTGTATGATTCGGTCAGCTTCAAGGACTTGAAGTACTTGCTCCAGACCCTCCAGTGTCCATTTCATCACTGTCCTCGACAGATCCCGAGTCTGAAACGAATAATTTCCATCATGTAGTATCTCTGTCCATTCCTTGATCTCACGAATATCGTCCATGTACAGGTTCTGTCTTTCCTCGGCAAACAAATCATTCTTCGATTTCGAGATGCTCTGCAGTCTCGAATTTAATGAGGTATCGAAGAAAGGAAGCGGTCCGACATGAGAAGAGGAGTCGCTTGCGATCTGTCCGATGCTCATGATTTTGACAATGGCAGCTTCACTAAGACTCGATGTCTGTCCGAACTGGCGTGAAAGTTGAGACAGCAGGCTTTCCCTTGCTGCAAGGGCGCTGCTGCCCACATTGTCGTTTGCACTCAGCTGTTGTAACTGGAGGCCACGAGCCGCATGAGTTGCTTCGAACCGGATTTCATCATCGTCATCGTTCAACAGATCATACAAGACCAGGAGAAGCCTCATCCTAAAACTAGATGGGAGCTCCAATGCGCCGACAGGTTGCAGATGTTCGATGTAAGTGTAAATTGCTGTTATAGCACTCGATCTTGTGGAATAGTCGAAATAGTCGGTCGAAATGTCTTGAAGATCGTGGAGCCATGCTTCGAGGTACCCTGCCTCCGTAAAGGACCCACCAGGTGCAGTATGCATTCTTCCCAACAATGACGCTTGTAGTTTCAGGGTTGCATTCCTTAAATCCCGCGTTGTATGCATTTGGGACAAGTCCAGGCCGTAGTAAAGTGTTCGTAGGACATCGATGGATATGTCCGTAATATGATTTAGGCATTGCTCCAAACATGTAAACATCTGCTCAAGAATGGCCGACGGAAGAAATGAATGCTGGCTTCCGTCCTCGACAAGACAGATAAGAAGATCGAGGAAAATCCGGGGTGGATTATGACCATGCTTTTGACTCAGGACGTCCAGGACGAAACCCAGAGCATCAACGTTCTCTAAGAACTGACTGGCCAAATTCCGTACTTCTTTGCTTGTGCCGTCGAGATTCTGGTCTCTTGTGAGGATGTGATAGGTTTTGCAAAGCAGTATCCGTCGAGATAAGTACGCATAGTGCGCAGGATCAATCTGTGCAGCGCGCGGAAAGTGCCCTTGTAAGCGTTGGATGCCACGTACATCACTTGCCCACTGATTTTCAAGAACACAGGAAGCGGCATCGTTCAACAAATCCAGCCATGCAGCATAGACGTATGGTGAGTGGGGAACTAGAGCCTCATTCGAAGATACCATCGGGTCGATGAGGTACTCGAGGATGGACTCGAGCTCCGCGCACGTAATAGTGGTTGCAGCTCGCCTCATTAGGTAGCGACAGCAAAGTAGAATTCCGTGTACTTGATTCTCCGGACCAGACAGACCGAATTCCTTTAGAAGTTTTATGATTTCTGCAGCTGGATTGCCGGGGAGTATGCCGGTTGCAAGTAGGAGAGCTGCATGATCCCTAACAGGCCATGTCGAGTGCATCAAGTGTTTCGTGACAAGCTGCGCTGCTGCGTCTGCTTCGGAACCTTTGAAGATAGTATGTCCGAGAAGGTCGAGGCCTGCGAAAACGAGTTCTGTGTCACTCTTTCTCCCATCTTTGTTGATGTCGGATGCCGATGCATCAAAGAGACGGAGTGCTATTGTTAATGGGGCACTAGTTTCCTCTTTTCCGTTGGATCGATCCGTCGACGCAACTGCTTCGCCCATGCTTGAAGTATCAAGACGGTTGATACAGGCACGCAGAAGCATAAGGCCACAGTTACGGATTGCCCAGACTTTGGACGACAGGCAAGTCGCAGCAAGTTCCATCATTCTCTCGAGATGTTGAACAACGACAACCGCGAATTTAGAGTTGGTCATGACCTCTTTCAGACAGTTCAAAGCGTGGACTTGCGGCAGTTTCACGTCTTCGATATCGAGGTGCAGGGATCCATCTATTGCTCGCTCCGCGATAACCATTAGGTCGTTAAGTGCGGAAGAAAAATGGTCTGAGTCGACAGGGCTGAGGAGCGCCGCGATCATTGCAGGGAGTCCAGCAGAACGGCGTGTCAACCGATTTGCTTGCTCGTTGATTTGATTCAAGGCAATCTGTAACCATGAGTTTCTCCAGGATTGATAAGGCATTTGACGTACCACTTACCTGATACCACTTGTGGATGAGACCACGCACATCTGAGTCGGTGGATAGCCTGACTTTATCGCAACATTGACTGAAGGTCTGAGCAACTGTTGAGAAGGCTCCTCGATGCCGGAGCGAAATCAATTGATCCATGCAAAGATCCCCGACAGCAGAACAGAGTTCCTGGGAGGGCGTCGAAATGAGAATCAACGATTGAAGGACGAGACTATTGATATCAGCCGTGATATTCATTATTGGAAACAAAACTCACCTCGAATCTCGGAGTGCCCTCCATGAATAAGCCAGAAGATCCTTTGGCCCTTCATTGGCCATTTCATCCTCGGGCTCGAAGGCGGTCTCTGGAGAATCAACACAAAGCTGGTGTCGCACTTGTTCCCAGACATTCTCACAGACCCTGACAATCGTGGGGCGAATGGAGGTGATCCGTGCATCCTCCCGGCCGAGATACCGTAGTCGATAACTTGTGGCAAGCAAAAGTGCATGGATTGGGATAGCACAGCCAGGCCTCAGAACGACCGTTCCTGGTCCAGCTGTGGACTGCTCCAGATAATATGCATCTTTTGCCAAATCTGTAAACCGAAAGTCCTGGAGTGGCTCGTTTAGCGACGGATGCATGTTTATGAGAGCAGAAAGCCTCCCCATCCCGTCGGCATGATCAGCTCGCAGCGTCCTGACCGCTAGCGCCTCTATCTTCTTGAGAAGACCGTGTCCTATAGCGCTCGCAATCAAATCGTCGTCTTTAGCGGCAAGTCTTTGGAGAATAGCAGCTGCGGTACTCCGGACGTCTTCGAACGGATCCAGCACCAGACATATCAAGGTTTTCAACAGACAATCGTCTCTTGCGAACGAGGCTGGCTCGAGACCCAGATCAAGCAGATGCTGCAGGGATTGTAGGCCAAGGATGTGACGCGGGTAGGATATTCCTGTATTCAGCTCTTCTTTCAAAAACCCATAGAAAGACATGGTGAAACTACTATAGGCGTCCAAAAGGCTTGTGACATCATTCCCACTGGGTACAAGCTGTGCTGGTTTCCGGAGTGTTGAAATACTGCTCTGAAGCCTTCGTAGCAGCCTCTTGGTAATGCTCAGAATCTCACCTCGCTCATGAGCGCCTGCGTCATCATGGAGGTATTTCAAGCTGGTGGCAATACATTCTAGGGTTTCTGGTGGGATAAGTGCATTTGTTGCAGGTGATGACACCAGCAATCCGTATGTAAGAGTGCGCACTTCAGAATCTGCGCTCATCAACATCCGTTTACACCAATATTGCCATTTCCTTTCATCGTTGAGATTGGGAGCACGTGGTGGAAATGCTGATGCGAAAAGTTCCAGTGTTTCTTGAAACGTTAGTTACTCGTAGCACACCTAGGTTTGACGGGTATACATACCAGGCTCTGTCAAGATTGATTTGGCTCGACCAACTTTAAGGATAGCAATAAACAAAGCCATCCTCGGTCCGCTCTCTTGACAGGACTTAGAATATGGTTGTACGAAAGCCATGAATTTCTGTTTGCTGTCCAGAATAACCGGCAAGACATTCTCTGCAAAATCGCCCAGGACTGCATGGTTTCTTTCCAGATACAGCTGGATGGCACGCTCGGCAAGGACTTGTAGCCCTGAAGATGTTGTGGATTTTGTAGAATCACTGCAGAGCAGAGAGCAAACCTTGATAGCACCGCTTCTTGTATCCAGATCAGTCATTGCGAAGATTAACGCAAGAAGAAAATGAGGGTTATTTCCCTGCCCAATGGAAGAGACATCGCTCATTGTGAGATTATGCTGGGATAACCGCTGTGTCCAAAGAAGGCGGTTTTCGTCCATGCAATGCTGGATCAACTGGTCAAGCTGTTCAAGGAGTGGCGTTTTCCGGAAGAGGAATGCTAGTATAAGACAAGCCTTCTTGATCTCCGAGCGAGGTAAGGATAGCAAGACAACCCTCACCAGGGGAAGTGATGTTCGCCGCAGGACCTCGGCGATCACTTCTGGATCATTCTGCTGGTCAAGCAGTTCACATAGTGTCTCCAGTATCTGCTTCGCTCGTTTTGTTTTGCCATCATGGAAAGCTTTGTGGACACAGTGATACACTTCGAACCACACATCTTGAGAGAGGACGAATTCTCGCAGCGAGACAGCATTGCTTTGGGCTGCACCATGTAAATAGACACATAGAGTGTTCGCCGCTGCAGTCATGTGTTTTTCGGCCACTCTAGGGCTAGTTGCTGTGAGCACAAGCTTGTGCCATATTGTCAGCATCCCAGAGACATCCTGGGTACCATCAGCATTGGCCAGTGCCGCCCTAAGAGAACCTCTTCCCAGCTCTGAAAGAAGTGAAATGGGAAGAGGAACTTCAGTACTTATGGCACAAGATATGGGATCCATATTGTTGGTACAGGGCTTCTCCATGGCTTTGGGATGGTCGCAGCGCAGCTGGTGTTTTGTATATTTCCCAGGTCCTCCATCATAGCCGTAGAGGCTCTCTCTTTGTAAAGAAAGTAGTCAGAACCGTCTTCGTGATCTATGCACACCAACCACTGGTAAGGAGTTTTTGCGGAAAAGTCGATAGAAATGGGCCCACTAACGCTAATACTAATCAGGTTTAGCTCAAAAATAATGGGCTTCCGGCCTATCTTGGACTGATCCGCATTTCGAACATTTTCTTCCAGGCGAGTTCGACTTTCTGTCCGTTCTTCTGCGCCAACCTGTAACTGTCGTCGCAACGCCTCTTATCTCCTCGAGTTCTTTCTCCCCATCTGTGTTTTCTTTCTTTTGGCACAGCACAATATGTCTGTCTGGGACGCTTTCACGGGCAGGAAGTCCTCGAGGCAGCAATCAGAAGCCTCCGGCCAACCTCAGTCTCCTTCTCCATCGTCTGCGTCTTCATCGTTTACACCCACCCATTTCGATCCCACGACCGCAACAGACGTATCGTCTTTTCTCGGAAGCGCATCTTTACCGGATGCCTCGAAACTTCATCCACTGGCCGGCCTAAATCAACAGACCCTCGACTACCTCACACTAGACGAATCGCAACTCTCAGACCTTCCCGGCTCCCGGTCAATATTACCATCGCGCGGCTGGTCCGATGACTTGTGCTACGGCACGGGAGTCGTCTATCTCACAGCCTTGACTACCGGAGGCGCCTGGGGTCTGATAGAGGGGTTGAACCGAACACCGGCATCGGCACCTCCAAAGTTAAGATTAAACAGCGTCTTGAACAGCATCACCCGAAGAGGACCTTTTCTGGGCAACTCGGCCGGTGTGGTTGCTATGGTTTACAATGGGGTAAACTCAACCATAGGATACTATCGCGGCAAGCATGATGCCACAAATAGCATCGTGGCAGGTGCTTTAAGCGGAGCCATTTTCAAGAGTACCAGAGGTTTGAAACCGATGTTGATCTCGAGTGGTATCGTGGGCACTATTGCGGGAGCGTGGGCTGTAAGTAGTGACTTTTTCATTTGCGCAATGCGACTCTCAGCTAACTCATATCCCAGTTGACTCGCAAAGTCGTTTTCGAACCCGGCGAACCCGCGGAGGCAAAAGAACATATTATTGCTCCGACACACGCGAGCATCTAAGCTAATGACCTTTGGGGATTCCCCGCTTGTATAAAACTGCCCTCTCCCTAACTTGCATGCCTTCAGAGCAGTGCACAGTTGCGACCGTCCGGTGTCTATTCTACGATCCTCACTCTTCGAATGTGGTAAAGCATAGCGGGAATGGTATGATATAGGGCGTTCCAGGAGGTGGATTGTGTATGATACATTTTGGCAGACCCGTGGAAGCGAAGCCATGGATACAAGGGGTCGACGGAGACTCATGCCGAAGGTAGACCAGGAGAGACGGATCTTTGGTTTGTCAATTGATGTGTTGATATTGAGGAGAATTCAGTCCCTGAAAAATTTAATACACTTCCCACAACCCCCATTATCTTTTCGAGTGCGGCAGTTACGAATGTTGGCATGGACACCCTGGTGATCAAAGCCCAAACCCCCAGATCCCTGGGACCTTTTGTCTATTGTACAAGTCATCAACAATGAGAATGTCTCACAGCATCGTCTTTCGCCAGGCTTTTGCAGCCAGAGCCTCAATCGCCTTCGTATCCAAAACACCCTTCATGTCCTCATCGGCAATGGCTTCAACCACTGCGTCCGCGACTAGGTCCACCTTCAGAGGCTTCTCGACGGCTGCACCGAATATACCAGTTAAGCTGCCTCCGACCAGACTGTTCACCGTGCTCCCAACCATGCCAGAGGCGGCTATGGGCAGGGTGAATTTGCGGCTGTTGTCCCACAGGAACCCGGGTCTTACAAAGATGCTCCGTAGCTTGGTCATCTGGCTTGCTATTGTGGTCTCTGCTTCTCGCTTCGTGGTAATGTATCGCGAAGGAAGGACGGGCGCACCCGCGGCGGCAGATATGTAGACGAACGTGTGTGCACCAGCATTCTCAGCTTCTTGTGCCAATGCAATGGCCGAGTCTCTGTTCATCAATTCATAGGTGATCTGGCGGTCTTTTTCGCCCTTTTCTAACCCTTCGCCTGGCTTTCGGTCGAGTGGATTCTTGGAGCTCCCGGCCTTGGTGGGACTGAACGCCCTAGATAGACCCGAGATAATGGACTCCTTTCCAGAGATGACCCCTTTATAGTCTGCTTCGAGCAAGATGCCCATCGTATGCACCACTGCATCGGCGTCCTTGAGGTGGGAGGTGTAGGTCGTGGGTTTTAAGATGTCACCTTTTGCCCAGCTTACGGACTTGGACCAAGGTGGAGGCTCTGTCGAGGAAGTTACTGAGGACCATGTCGGCTCGCCTGAGCGACTAGAGCATTGTCAGCCATACTACAGCGTCAGGTATCAGGACGCAACCAAATAACTTACCTTATGGAAGTAACATCCCAACCTCTGGCGACGGCGGATTTGCAGATTCGCGAACCGAGAAACCCATTGCCTCCTGCGACGACCAGCTTCTTCTTGGCAGCCTGTGCCATCTCTGAGCTGAGAAACGGGTATATCAACTTGTTGCAGTGCTCTCTTGACCCCTAGACAACCCCCTCTCACACCACCAAAGAAAATAGTGCCTTGGACTTTTTGAGAGACTCAAATGCGTCATTGACGAGGGCAGCCGGAAACGGAAGGTGCGGCGAGAATCAGCCTCTCGACGACCACCCAACTGGGCAGATCTCCAAACATTTCGCAGGAAATGAACCAAATTTTGCGAAGAGTCGATCAAACTATTACTGCCAACATGCCTCCTTCCAAGCGACGCAAGCTTAGCCCAGAGCCTGAGGAAACACAAGATCGTTCAGATGATACTAGGGAAACACCTCAGACGAGACAAGAGCCGGACCGCGACGGGACTCTGGCAGCGTCACCTACAGTCGAAGATCAGACAAACAATGATGTAGGGGACTCGACATCAAAGCCTAAAGAAGGAGCTGCGGATGGTACCTCGACTGCCACTACAGTCCCGACCAGCACAAATGCACACCGACTCGCCCGTTTCGCGGCCCTCAAATCCCGCGCGACCCAGTCCGCAAAGTCCAATCTTGCCGAAGCCAAAGCAGAGGCCAACCGTGCGGCGATGGATCCAGCGTTGCTCGCCAATTTGAACAGACGCTCAGCAATCGCACAGCACAACCTTCTCAAGGCAGATACGGAAGAAGAGGGCAAAGGGGCTTTCGAGCGCAAGCGAGCGTGGGACTACACCATAGAGGAAAGCGAGAGATGGGATGAGAGGCAGGAACGGAAAAAGGCCGCACGAGACAACAACGCGTTTTCGGATTGGAGCGACGAGGCTTCCCGGATGTATGATCGCCAAATCCGCGAGTTGGAGAAGAGTTCGTTGAAAGACGGTCACCGCAACCGTGAAGAATACGAACGACAGAAAGCGGAAATCATTGAAAACGCCGCACGCACCGGAGGATTGGAGATTGTGGAAATGGAGAATGGCGAACTTGTTGCCATCGATAAGGACGGCCGGTTCTATGCGGACCACGACAGTCTAGGATTCGTGGAACAGAAGCCCAAACGGGAGAATGTGGATCGCTTGGTGAACGATCTGAAGAAGGCAGAGGAAACGCGGTTCAAGAAACGAAGAGAAAGAGGACGCGACGTGGACGAAGGAGACGTCACATATATCAATGACAAGAACAAGCAATTCAACCTCAAGCTGGCGAGGTTCTACGACCGGTATACGAAGGACATCAGGGAGAGTTTCGAGCGAGGAACAGCCATGTGAGGTGGATCAAAGCAGACTTGACTTTTGGGGTTTTACAACAAAAGTAGAGGACAAGGGAGCTGTGCTCTCCAGATCCAGTAGATTGACAGCCGGTTCCACCTTTTGGGAAGCACGCAAGAAATCATACATTTTCGTTTTCTCGACAAACCAGAAAACTACAAGTAGAGTCTGTAAAAACAGCGTTCTGTGGATTTGCGCGTCCTGGACTATAGGTGGTGTGAGGAAGAGAAGAGCGGGTTTCTCTGTCGAGACACTCCGTGTATACCTAAGTAGGTCGCATACGAGGTACTCGTACCTAGAAGCGGAGTTGAACGCCACGTTGGGCGGGCACTGGCGCCCTGTCACATAAATACATACACTCATCCAGAGTACATATAGACCTACATACATACTTACTTACATGCTCTGTCAAACCAGACGCCGAGCACACAGCACATTCGACACCGATCGGCTCTGGCTTTTCACTTGATTCTCCCCATCCCGCCCGAGTCTTTTGCCGCCCTTGGTCACGACAAGTCCTCCTAAGCGTAGCCCCTCCGCCTCCATATCGACATACAGTCATTGCGAGGTACTGTACCTCATACACGAGAGGAGATTTATCAACGGGCCAAATCCAAATTCTATGCAACAACCAAGATCTCCAGGCTTTTTACCTACTTACCGCTGACTGACCGTACCATACTTTACCATCGCCGCTGACCTGAGGCGAGCGGAGCGGAGCAGCGAGCAACTTTCGGTTTCGAGCAGGGTAAAAAACCAGGCTTGGCCTGTGGTCTATCATCTTCTTCGGGGCGACGAGTCCTTTGTGGTACCAAAATCGAGGTCGTCTCTAGTTTAAGGATTGTTTCAGTCGCGCGGGGCAGGATTGGAGAGCACCAGCAAGGTCAAGGGGATCACTCTCGCACGACGGGACGAGAAAAACTCGAGCGAAATTTGGACGGCTGTACGACGCTCTGTACCAACATAGGCGAGAGGGATTAATCAACATACATTGGATCATCAGGCACGAGTGCGTCCTCGTCATCCTCGCCTGTTCTACGACAGGAGCACCGCTCAGAAAGGTATCTATAGCAGCTCGCTAGCCGAACAGACATCTCGCCATGCCTCAAGCCAGAGCCACCAATATCCTCATTATTGGTGCGGGCATAACCGGCCTCAGCACCGCGACTCTACTTCAAAAGTACTTCCCGTCGGCCAAAATCACCATTGTGGCCGCCGAAACGCCCACGACAACATCTCCATCGGTAGACTATGCCTCCATGTGGGCAGGCGCCCACTACCGTCCAATTCATCCGCTCTCCACCGAACAACTCAAAGAGGAATTCAGAATGGGCGTGTGGACGAGGGATATTATGAAAGGTATCGCGCGAGACATTCCGGACTCGGGAGTAGGTTTTATGCCTGCGGTCGAGTACCTTGAGGATCCGCCCCAGGAACTTTTGGACATCACGCCCGGATATGAATATGCAGGTCCAGATGATGAGTTCCGCGTCCTGCGCCAGGATGAGTTGCCAGCCGGTGTAAGGTGGGGATGTGAATATCAGAGTTATTGCATCAATATCCGGAAATATTCTCGCTGGTTGATGGATAGATTCCTGGCGAATGGAGGACGACTTGTTCGACACCGCCTCTTAAACGTAGCCGATGCATTCGACTTTGCGGAGCGGAATCGACTTGGGAAAGTGTCAGTGGTGGTAAATTGCTCGGGGAGAAACTTTGATCATGATCCTAAGACAAAGATCATTCGCGGTCAGACAGTCCTAGTGAAGCAACAATACACCAAGACAATTACTCGGCAGAATGCAGATGGGAGTTGGATATTCTTGATCCCACGACCGCAAGGTGGGGGGACGATCGTGGGCGGAACGAAGGAGATTGATGATTGGCATGATGCCCCTCGCTCGGAGACAAGGGCGAATCTGCTGAAGCAGTCGGTGGAGAAGTTTCCCTATTTTGTCGACTCGATAGAGAAATTCGAGGTCGTACAAGATAATGTCGGCCGCAGACCGTGGCGGGAAGGTGGCTATCGGATTGAAATCGAATCCGTTGGATCGGGGAGAACCGTTGTCCATGGGTATGGTGCCGGCGGTCGAGGCTATGAGATGAGTTGGGGCGCTGCTGAGAGGATCCTTGAGCTGGTCAAGGAGTCTGTCGGTACAGGCGCCCGGCTGTGATGGCTAAGGACCAGAGCCGTATCGCTTCATTTCTTCTTCACGGGCTTCCCTTCGGTCTTTTCCAATTCCTGTAGTCTCGCCTCCTCCTTTGTAAGTTTTGCTTTTTCTTCCGCAATCAATTTCTGGACTTGCTTGACGGCCTCCCCCAGACGGTCCAGCTCTTTGCTTTCTTCTTCCCTGCTGAATTTGTTGCCAGGAGAGCTCTTCACGGGTATCTCGGCGGTGGGCGGCGCCTTGACGACTCCCTTTCCTCCTTTTCCTGCCTTTGATTTGTTCACTTGGCTACCTCCCGTGAGGATTTCGTAAAAAGCCTCCACAGGTTCATTAAACAGCACCTCTTCGTAGCAGACGCTGCTGATCATTGATCTGTTCTTCTTCTGCTGTTCAATGTCCCCATAGTATGGATGTAATTTCAGACCGTGCCAAATCTGCTGGGGTTTCTCTGTACTCTCGGGCACAAAGTAGAACTTGATGGCGATTTCAAATTCACCCCAGCCCGTCTCTTCCACCTCAAACGGAGGGCTCTCGATCATGCGAACGCTGTTGGCGTACGTGTCGTGGAGTTTGAACTGCACTTTTCGCAGCCAATACGATATGTCTTCATTGTTGATCCCACGGACAAACACTCTCCACTTGTGTGTATGGTCGGGTGGCGCGTCCTTTGGGCGGTTTTCTGGGTCGAACGGAATGGCTTCGGTGCCGTAGATGAAGGGACGATAAATTTGAACCCCGCGCACGCGCTTGGTTCCAGCGGGAGCAGGCATTTTGGGCGTGGCGGCGGTAACGAGATTTCGAGCGGTATTTCAAGAGCGTCTCCAGCGCAGGTCGGTGAGGCAGACCAAATGTAACCCTCGTGGATAGGACATCTGATTTCAGCCTTTGCCCCTCACAACACTGGGGGACAACGTGGAAGAAGAAGAGAAAAAGACGCCTGGTAGCGGAGTGGAAAGTTGCATGTGGTTTTCCACCAATAAGGCTTGGCACGGGGCGGGACGCGTTGATTGCGTCTCGGACAACTTCATCTCTTCACTTCACATTCCCGCCCAAGGCCTAGATGACATCGGCAGCTCCACAGAGATAAAACATATAGTTGGAACGGCGTCTGACGAGGAATTGATGGGCAACACGCTCCTAAGGCCTTCTACGACATGTACGGGGGCCCATGGAGGATTGTGCTGAGGCATGAACTGTATCCGCCGGCCCTTCGTTCCCAGTCTCTACATCGCTCTTGGTCCTGCTCTACTCGACTGGCTGCAAAAAGAAGTCGACTTCCAACATACGCAAAACGGGCTACACTAAAGACTCCCGACCCAACACTCGAGAGCGTACTCAGATCGGAGGTGAAGAAATTGAAACCGGACCTGAAATCGAAATCGGAAAGGCGTGACTCCTACTATATTTCGCCCGACTTTGTCAGTGCATTGCACGGCATGGGCTTCTTTTCGATCGAGACTGTGGTCCAAGTGCTGAGGTATCTCTGTGAGGAGCTGAAAAAGCTTCCTCTTGCCAATGCCTTGATCTCTGCCACTACACAACAGAGTATGTGGGTATGCCGGTCGTGAGTACGTTGTTGGTCTGCTGACGCCTCTCCCCATTAGGATTTCTTCAGGTATCAGAGGAAGTGCTGGGCACCGGTGAAGCAGCCTTACTGCGCGATCCACAGATTCTCCGCAAGGCATTCCATTCACTAGGCCAGAATAACTTTCACAAGCAGAACCGCAAGGGCAATGACGGCTGTGATGCCTTGCGTATGGCGTTCTTTGCAGGAGAGACTGAAGCAGGTGTGGATGCAGCAGCAGCCGAGATTGCTTTGGGAGCTTCCTTGAGTCCTCACGAGGCTCGTCTCTCACCACGAATTTTCGACCATGTCAAAGCCAAGGCGTTGGAAAGGAACGATTGGCTTGCAATATTACTCTACTTGGATGAAATGTCGAGGAAGACAGGCACCGAAGCAACAGCAAGAGAGAGTTATCAGCTTGCCAAAGACTTAGTCGCCATGGTCCAACCGAGCAAATATCTTCGAACGCAGAACTCGTCTCTCTTACAACCTCGCAACCTGCCATGGAGGGTTCTTCATGATGCGGCCGAGTCCTATTTGTCCTACCTTGGTGAAGGTGCGGAATATGATCAGGTGCAGTCGGATCTTGAAAATGCCATTCGGGATGGGCTTTTCAAGTACTCCGACGTTTCAGCGGTTCCCTTCGCATTGCGTCAACCAGGGGTAACGGGAAAACATTCCAAGGAGTGGATTGAGCTCGCGACGCAATCTGCTAGCGTCGGCGATGCGGATTCGTCCCTGCAACTAGCATTCTACTATCTCTCCAAAGACGGATGGCGTCCTGCAGAGCCCAACAAGAAACCTCGAGAATGGACCGGCATTGAGTGGCTCGGCGTCAGTGCCGCTCTGTCTGCTCCCGAAACGGGGCCCATGGTCGCAAAGTATCTCGGATTGGCCCATTTGTTGCGCGAACACGGGTACGTGGACGAAGGCATGTCGTGGATTGACTTTGCAAAGGAGAGTATGGGCGAGGCGGGGCTCGATCCTGACAACACATGGAACAACTATCTCAGCGAATTCCAGCTAGCGTGGAAAGACACGGACGAGTCCGAATCCCTGAGGAAGTACGAAAAGTCCAGTGAGGACTTTCTCGGGCAGCTGGAGCGAGTCTAGCAAAGTGGAAATGAGGCACATTCCTGAATGTGGCAGTCGACAAGGCCAAGAGACTTTCCGTCCTCAAGGTCTATAAGTTGTGTTAGAGGGACGATCGCGCTCGTGACAGCCTGGCTTGAACCTGTACAGCCAACATGTTCACTCGCAGCAAGCCACGGCGACGAGGATTTGGAATTGCATGTGCGTTTGATCCAGCCCTCGGTATCCACATGCACGTCGAACCAACCCCTATGGGATATGAGCGACAGAGCCAACATCCACCCTGTGTCGATGGTTCAGGAGAAAGTCCTTGCATGCCACACCATTGCCTACATAGGCACCCAACCAACCATCTCAGTAGGATGTCGTCTTGGTAGTTGGTGGCTGAGGTTGAGGCTCTCGCGGATACGGTATCCTCTTGGACCGAACCCTAATACCTACCACCGACATATACCTAGTGACCTAGTGACCCTACCCTGCCTACCCTACCGTGTCTGTGACTTTATCTGTACCGAGTACATATATATCATCCTCAATCCGGGAAGGCTTGGCCCTTGAGCGTCGTCGCCCCCGTCCAAATCAGGAAAATATACCTAGGAAATAGTAACTTTCCGGTTCGTGTCGTGTTGTACTCCATCTCCCGAGTCTTTGTCCTTGTCCTTGTACTTACACTTGCACTTGTACCGACTAGAGAGAGCCACATATCTACCTAGATACCTACCTCTATCTACGAGGTACCAAATACAGTAAATGCAATTCGTGCCGACGTCCATCCAACCCCCTTTCCTTCCTCCTCTCTCCTCCCGTCTGATTCTCGTATCGTATCTATGTATGTGTCTGTGTGTGTACTCGTCCCCGTCCTCATACCCGTACTCGCACTCGTAGACGGTGTCGAGGCAACAGATAACCCGCCAGACATGTGCCATGATGAACGAATACTTCTTGGTGCTCTTGCTGGGAAGTCCCAGTTCTTTTTTTTTCTCCCTCGCGTTTGCCCGCCTTCTCCCGCACGCCGCATGCCCTATGCCGCATGCCGCACGCCATATCTACCCGCCATCCCGCGGTCCGCCCATCCGCGCAGTCGGCCGGCGCCAAAAAGTTGTCTACGAGGTAAGTCGGTACGAATGTGTAGAATTAAAAAGCCATACAAGAACAACGTTTAGGTCCATCTTTGGGCCTCTTTTTTTCTTCTTTTTGTCCTCGTACCTCGTCACCTGCGTCACTTCGTAGCCTCGAACCTTGTACCCTTGTACCCTCGTAACCTTATCTCTTGATGTGCTACCTGCCTGTTACGCGTCCCTGTCTTTCAATCAAACCTTTCGTTTTCGGATTCTTCTGTTTTCAGACGACCCGAAAACACAGACAGAGAAAGAGAGAGAGAGAGAGGCTCTCGAGAAAAGAGTATGTAGAGACGAGAGTACGAGGTTACATATCTCCGAACTCGTATGGGGGGGTGGATTGGGAACCCCAGTCCCAGCCTGAGGGCGAGAAAAAAAAAATTGTTCAAAATGTTTTAGCTCGTGGGTAGGTAGCATGTACCGAGTACGAGGACTACGGAACTCGATACCCGATGGCCTCTGTTTTATATCACATAATGACTCCTGGTCATGGATGCCAAGATTCCTTGGAAGAGTGGTAGAGGGAGTGAATGACTGACTAACTAGACTGACTACGACTGTACGTGTCCCGATGTAGCTGTAGCTGTGACTCCCATCATCGAGATAGAGACAGAGACAGAGAGCGAGAGAAAAGAGATCCCGACCTCGAGCTCGAAACAGAAAGAGTAACAGAAGACGAGATTGAGATTTGAGATTTGAGATTGAATGTCAAACACACAAGAAAGAGGGCCGACGAGATCTAGACTCTCGCCCCCAACCGAAGAAACTCCACTTTTCGCCTGACAAGCCGACTCGCTCGCGCCCGCTGGCTGGCCGGTTAAATATCTTTTTTCGGTTGTTGCCAACGAAGATCTAGACTCTCCATTATTATTCTCCATCCGTCCTGCTTTGCCTGCCTTGCCTGCCTCCACGTACCTACGTCGTCGCGTCGACCCGTCCGCCATCCCGTCAAACCACTTTCCAAGGAACAAGGGAATGCCGATGACCCAAGCCCTCCCAAAAAAGTAAAAATAAAATATACCGCTGACAAACAACAAAAATTATTGACCTCGTACTTACTTGTATCTGCGTAAAGTGAGAGATATGTTAGATGCTTGGCTGGTAGTTGTGAGTCTCTCTCCCTCCTTAACCGGCTACCCGAGAATAGGGAGAAAAGAGAGATGAGGCATGTAGAACCGAGAACGATAGGAAAGATCGGGTTGAGTTTGTGTCAAAGCATTCTTGCTCCTAAAAGGAGACGAGCAAAAGGCTTTTCTTTGGTTCCAGACCTGTCGGTATGGTAACTCTAACAAAAAGAATGAAAAAGAATGATAAATAATCATCATAATATACTTACTTGTACATGGCATGTCTTGGTAGGTTACCTCGAATTGCTTCAGGCAACAGTACCCGAGTCCTTGTCCCCATCCATGGTTACACCCAGTGGCATGACCATCACCCACTCCATCACCATCTGCTGGACCCCAAATTTCCCAGCCAAACGAAAAGAGCCCCGAGTAGACGAATCAACTCCATGATTGCTGCGTCGTCGGGACTTGTTTCCTTTGCCTCCACCGCTGCACGATGATGTTCTTGTCCAACCATATCTCCCTCGATCCTGCTGAACAAGACCTTCGACAGTGCAGACCGCCTGCTTGACTCCCACTGCTACCTTAGCCGTAGCACCAACACGCACCCAGTCGTCCAATGTTTTTTGAACACAGAACCCAACAGCTTGGAAACCCCCTGACGTCTTTTCGCGTGGCTGCTTCTTTGCCGACTTTTCTAATGGTGGATTGGCGAAGTCGCCGGTTTTCTCCTTGAGATACTTTTGTGCTGTACTCGGGTAGACAAGACAGGTTGAATCACCGCTGTTCCCACCAACCCCCAATTCCTAGCCCCTTAGCTCCTGGCTCGCTCGTCGCATGTCGTGTGAAATATATCTCTCAAGAAAAGGGAAAAACCTTGTCGCCCCCCGAAAGCTGCAAGCCCTGTTCCCCTAGACTCCTTGTAAGCTTGACAAATTCGCCTGACCGCCCATATCGCACATGTCTCCATTGCCTTGTTCCGTGCCCTAGTCAGATACATCCCGAACTTCCTCATAAATTCCATTGTGCTTCTGTCTGTTACGTTCTGAGGTCTCTGGTTACCCGTATCTCATTACCGAGGAACCCAAAATGCAAAGGCATGTCATGTATTGCCATAACAAAAGGGAGAGAGAAAAACCAAACAGTCATCGTTACCACAAGCGATCATCACTGACCGTTACTCAAGCTTCCAAGAGAGCTCGCTCACACACTCCCAATGTGGACTTGACAGACTGGTGGCCTTCACCTCCAGCCTATGTTAATCCGCCATCATTCATTGTCGTAGTCACCTGAATCCTCGTCGTCGGAGTAGTCATCCCACTGTTGCCTCCTTCGTCTTTGACCCTCTCTGATTCCTTTCTTCAGTTTGAGAGGGTATCCTGCGCCTCGGTCGAGGAGTCCCTTCACCAAATTGGTGCTAGGCTGCACTTGGTCGAAATCCTTTGCATTAACTGCTCGAAAGACTTGACTGGTGACTACGTGGTGAGCGGGCACCGTCGCGCCCACCCTCAGTAATGGAGGCTCCATCTTCATCAGTGTAAATTGCAACCGGTATTCGCCAGCTCGGCGGAGCGAGAGGTCGGCAAAGATGAAGAAAGAGCCAGGAATGTTGTGTGGTGCTCTTGGTAATCTTCCGCGAGTCGTGTTTGGTAAGAACCTCGACGTCGGACTCGGGGGTGCAGGTGCTGCATCTTTCGTGGCGGGATGAGTCGGCATTGTAGGGGGATCAGGATCATCAGAAGTATGAGTAGGACTCGCCACAGTCGTACCCAAAAGGAGACGTTGAACTTCTTTTTGTCCTTCTTCCGTGTAGTAAGACTGCGTGCTCACGTCCGAATTCACGGCAACTGCTCCCACCAGCCGGCAGTGCACAACCCAAAAAGGGCATTTGAGCTCGGCTACGTCGTCCTCATTGTCGGGGTCAAAGTCATCCATCAACAGCTGCACGATTGGCGGTGGATCAATTGCTCTGAAACGAACTGATCAGCCCTGACAAAGCCCCAAGACATCTGTGAATTTACCTTCGGTCCTTTCCGTCTGGTCCTGCGCGAGCGGCTCGGGGTTGCTGTCTGATGTGTAAATGACATCGCCTGGCATTATTGGACGAGGACCGGACAGAGTTAGACTCGTTGGGAGTTGCGTTCGTCACAACCGGTGATTCCGTCACTGGAACACTTGAAGGAGTGGCTGTGTCTTGTAAAGGGTCAGATATCGGACTGGCGGTCCTAAACCCAGATTGAGGCATTGGTTCGTGAAGTTCACTGTATGAGGCTTGAAATGGGGAAGGGTCGTACGACAATCTAGAATGACCGTCAGTGAAAGGAGCTTCAACGGAGCTGCCACCACTACCTTCGGTCACTAAAGGTGCTCGTTCCTGGACTGTGGATAGGAGCGCTGTATCTGGAGGGCTGCGAGGAAGGTGAAAAAGCTGAATCGTTTTCAGAACCATGCCCTGTCGTAGAATGCGAATGAGGTGCGACGGTCAGGGGAGGAAATGGTGAAGGCGGCCAATGGTTGGGACTTTGAGATTGAGGAGCAGACCCCGAGAAATAGGAAGGACGATGTGGACCGTCGAAACCTCCCGGGGGTGGTATCTGAGTTGGATAGGCGTACATAGCCTCTGATGCAAATGCATCCGTGGTCAATGAAAACGAGGGCGAACGCTGTGAGCCACTGAGCACACAGATCGAAGACGACGAACCATGTACCGTCGGAGTCATGATACCTGAAGTAGGACGATATGCGTGAGCTGTGTCGGTTGATGACGGTCGACGTGTTGCCTCTTAAATACCAGAGGGCACCAAAAAGCAGTCGGTCAATCCCAATGGACTTCTGAACCGAAAATCTTGTCGAGCACCAGCCCTTGGCATCGCGGATGGCATTTAGCGAGGGCTCAGCTGGCGTAATTCGAGACCGGGGGACCGTGCGCCGCAGACATTAGATCCTGGCAAGTGATGTCGCTAGGAGGATGGGGCCTCCAAAGGAGCACTCGACAAGATAGGCGTGGGGAAAGGGAGGGGGTGGTTAGGAGAGCGAGCGAGCAGTGCACCGAGATTCGGAAAGGACGGGCAGCGATGGAAAAATGGAACGACACGACAGGGTCGGACTTCGCGCGGGTTCTAGGACGGCAGGCAAAAAGAAGTTTAGACAGTTTGTGCAGTAGCGTTTGCGACAGATGCCAGTAGTAGTGGTGCCAGGGCTTTTTACTTTTCGCAGGTAGGTGAACCCCGCCTCTCAGGGCGGGCGCACAAAGAGATGGTGGCCAGTCGCAGATTTATTGGGGGTTGCAAGGGTAATACGAGACCCTCCTTGTCATGTGGATGTTGTATCATGCCGGCCAGGGATTTCAACTGCATCAACATGTGAAAGGGGCCAGCTGAGACGCCGTCACATTGTGATGGTCACCTCATGGGTGCGCCGTGATGTATCCCTCGTCTTCTCTTTTGGCCATGGTAGAAGCGGCGGTGGTAGTCGCTTGGAGAGGCAGAGGGACAGAGCGTGGATCGCTTGCTGGACCGAAAAACCAAAGTCCCAAAATGAAAGGGCCGCCCGCAGTTCCGAAACTTGGATTTAGAAGAGCCCACACCAAAGAAATCCAAGAATGAAGCTGTAGCTTTCGGCATGGCGCATAGGGTTGGATGCGTGGAAGGGTTAGTTTAGGCGAGCACGCCTGCGCTGCTGGAGGGTTTGTTGATCAAGCAAGGTTGCAAGGTGGAGGTTGACACTAGAAGGAGTAGAAACCACGCCAGCCCCAACCGACCTGCGAACTAAGGCAAGGGTGGGTTGAGGCATGCACCGTGATACGAGAGGTGAGGAGGGTGACCAGGAGAGCCATCTACCACCAAGGTCAATGACTTCAGAGTCTACCTTGGTAGTAACAATAGTCGGCAGCCCCCCTTGTCTCGAAAAGATGAGGAGGGTGAATCAATTCGTCAGTGTCGAAGGACGGGATAGGAAAAGGCAAGCAAAGTGAGAAATAGGATAAATGAGATTGGTAGACGCGTGAGTCTTCATTTTCATCCAAATCCCCAACTTGGAGTGAGAGTGACAAACCACCCAATTGCACTCCTAATCACTCACACTTGTTCCAAGTCCACCTCTCCCAACACCTGTGCCTGCCAAACTAAGAAGGTACCTTACTCCCCCTCTAGCTCTGGTTTCATTAGCTATGTACAAACACTAACGCTGCCTGGTCAGTGCGGTATTGTGTAGGACGGTGCCCGAACCCGAAACCGAAACCCGTCACCGTTGAACGAGCTGCATGAAACCACATGAGTTCTCTGCAGTGACAGGCGCGACATCCACCCCTCCTCCTCCTCCTCCTCTCTCGACATTTTAGTTTGTCCCAGCAAACGAGCGCTTGTTACCTTCTCCCTCGGACTCACCAGAAGTGAACTGCCGGACGCCACGCGTTGAAGATCTGTTCCCCAAGCACGCTCGACAAGGATCTTCCTCCCAGCTCGGCCAGGGTATTTTACCACGGTGACAATTCAGAAGTGATTCAGGGCTGAGTGGCAATCAGCGACATGTTTGGCGAGCACCGCTAATGTAGGGATGACCTCTCCAGCTCCGGTCTCCAGCTGCAGAAGAGGCGGATTGCAAGTTTCGGCTCCGCATGGGGCAGTATGGTGGTAATTAGCTGACCTCGACACAGGTTGACTCTGGTCAACTTCATCACCGGCGTCAAGAGATGTCTCTGCAACCTGCAGGAACCCCTGCACGACTCAAGATAGCTGAAATCCCAATCACAGCCGATGGAGCAGACGTGCAAACCAAGGACATTGATCAAGGTCACAACCCAGCCATTGCGACCATTGGGCGGAGTTCAGAACCAAAGTTCAAGCCGCGCCCCATCTGCTTCCGCCTTAGAACCCACTCCAAGCATGCGGACCTTCTTGATTACTGGAGCATGGAGCATATTCGTCCTGGCCCGATCTCTTGACATTCTCCGGTTGGAAAGAAGTCGCTCAAAAGGAAAGGAAAAGAAAAAAAGAGGTTCCGGGGAAGACACCGCGGACCAACAACCCGGGCACTCTAAGCGCTGGATGCAAAGCTAAGTAGGACCACATGCCGATGCCCTAAGGCCTGCATACACATTCTATACGAGTAGTTGCGCAGGACAGGGTCCAGTAACCTCTGTTGATCCATAACCGCCAAGGAACAAGAACCTCCAAAGGTGTAGCAGCTTCCCAGCTCTCCTGAGGATGAAAGGATTGATGGCACGAGCGTCGGTACTTCTGCCACTATCCACCGCCAACTGAACACAAATAAGATGGTGCGCTGCTGTGATCTCGGTTATCGATTCGAGACTCAAGATCCTTGGCCGGCGACCGGCCCACGAGTCCACGACCCAAATAGACTCTCTCCAAACAGGCAAAGCCCGTGTCCCCCCAGACGCAAAAACTGTGGGTGCTTGTTCAACAACTCGGTGCCTCCACATATCCTGGCTCCCGCTTCACATCTTGATATGGCAAAAGATCAGCACTTTGGGCTTCAACCACTATCAACACTAATTGGACGCCACCTGAAGGTCTCACGGGTCCTCGAAGTTATCAAACCTCAACCAGACTCATCGACAAATCAAATGCATCCCAGAACCGGCCAGAGTCCTCTCCTGTTTGAATTATTTCCAGCAGGGCTTTATCCTATTACGACCCCGGCCTGCAGGAGTATTACGTACCACTGTGCAGACCCGAGTGGCGAGTGACATGACAAGTTCGGACGACAAGAGCATCGCTCAGAGCAACACCCCACACACGAACGAGAAGAAGTCAATCTAAGCCCTAAGGTTGACCTGATCATCTACGAGTGCGCAACTGCGCGACATAGCTTAGGCATCAACTGACCCGAGAACTCAGGTCTCGACTGTCATAGACCCTTTTGTCTTGACAAAGACCAATGATAATGTCCTCTCGATTTTAAGGCCCCTTGCCTGATCCGAATTGTTACCCATGTCAGGTCTTCTGCGGCAGTTGATTAGACTCCAATCCTAACGCCCCTACTCAGGCATCGTCCGTCCAAAGGCATAGGACCTTGCTAACCGACGTTCGCAACACCATTTCCATGCGGGCAGGAGAAAGAAGCCGCGATCTTGACCTATTCGGTAGACCAGCAGCTGGAGAGGTGCGTTAGCGTCCATATTGTGGCTTCGCATGGCAGGAGAGGCTGGATGGATGGGCAATGAAGTCCAGCTGAACGCAAAGTGGAGGGTTCTGGAGTCGACCTCCGGACAATTGGGCCATGAAATCGACGATAGTTTCATTCTAGCCGGTGACAAACAGCTCGACCTGCTGGTGGCAGGTCTGCATTCCCTTGCCAGGGCCAATCCTGTACGTTGCTTACGCGGTCTTTGATATTTTTCATACCAAGTTCGACAGTCTGGAACGCCCCAGGGGAGGGAATGATAGTCAGCCAGGAGGTCTGGAAATTTCAACTTCGCTGCAAGAGGCCGAAGGAGGCAGATATGTGTTGTGCGAGTGGAAACTTACTCAACCAAGTTGCCATCAGGATCCCGAAGATAGACACTGCGCAGCTTCCCTTGCGCTCCAGTCCTCTCAACCACCTTTGCACCCTCCAGCACAGTTATCCCTCTCTCCTTGAGCCTTTCCAGCACCCTTTCCACATCGTCCTCGACCAGGAAGCACAGGTCGCCGCTCCCGGGCTGCACATGCTCCGCTTTCGGCTCAAACTCTTTTCCACTTTCGTGTAGGTTAATTTTCTGGATGCCAAAGTTCAGGGCGTGCCGAGTGATGCTGGGGTCCGTTGGGGCAGTGAAAGAGGTGTGCGCCATGCCGCAGACATCCTGGTAAAATTTAATGGTGGCGTTAATGTCCCTGACCGTCAAGACTAGGTGATCGAGCGATTTGACTCTGGACACTGAGGTCATGACGTTGCGCTTGATCTTCCCTAACCCCTGTCAGAGATGACGATGGACAGTTGAGAGCGTGATATCTCACAAAGGATAGATACTGTCCTGTGAGGTTGCCAGCAGAATGTATTATTCAAGAGACAAGTTCAATGCCTGGTCTGGGAATGTCTTCCATATGCATGAAGTGAGGGAAGTGGTGTTTGAGCTGGTGTCGCTGGCTCTCTGCGTGTGCTCCCCGCCTTTTGTCAGCTCATCTGTTCTCCAATTTCCAGTTGGTCAATGTCATCTTTGCAGGACGCGGACGTCGTGCCGATGGGGATTTGGTGATCATATCCATTTCCGCGGACAACATGCCGAAGCTCGCCTGATACACGTATCTGTATCTGGTTGAGTGGTTATTGTGTGTTGAGTAGCAGCGAATACACAACGGATACTATTGCAAGCCCTATCAACGAACGGGTCCATAAGTCTGAGAAATGGGAAGAAATGTTGGAGCGTGTCACATGACCCAACAGTGGATGGCAAATGACCAAGAAATGACAAACGGACTGGCCTTCCGATGTTCTTAGCCAAGATCATCTCAACACAACTACACACACGTGCGGAACATCTAACAACACGCCTGTTGTCGCTTGTTGAGCGAGAAGCACGACTTCACCAACATTATGTACAGCTGTAAGCGGGGGGGTAAGATAAGATAAGATGGCATTGTCGCTTCAAGATCTCCAAACTTGAAATTTGTGCTTCTGTTCATTTTTTTTCGTTGGGATATCAATCCTGCTACTCCTCACCACGTACAACAAAAATGGTGACTACCAGGTCTCAGGAACGCAAGAAAGCTTCTTTCACCTCGCCCTTTCCTCTAGCAGAAGCGGACTCGGCGTGGTCACCCGATGCTGGAATAACGCCGTCCAGGAAACCCAAGACACCCTCTGCGAGTATTCCTGCCCGCGAGACCAGTCTTGGCCCACCAGTGAAGAAGAACAAGATTGAAGTCGTCATAAATATAGCACCGAATCAAGAGATAACGCCAAATCTTCTCCGCCAGGAGGGACCACAATACCAAGGCAACGAAATGGGACAGATAATTTCGCAGAGCCAGTCTGCGAATGTCGGCCTTCCCTCTGTATCAGACGGGCTCGAGGGTACCTCGTCCCATGATGCAGCCAAAACTATGCAAGCCGACGTCAAGGAGGCTGCGGAAAAAATACCCCAAGATGGTCGAGATGTACAGACTACACTTGCGGACCGCTCGAAGCGCCCTGTGTCACCATCCTCCACATCGGCATCCACCCCCAAAAGACGGCGGTTCTCTAGCGGAAGCCCGGAGGAAGTGATGCCTGAGGCGAGTATTCTCAAGGAGCAGCGTTCAGGTGCTGCTGATCAAGGCGGTGAAGAGGAGTCGGAGGATGATTCCGCGCCCGAAGTGGTCAGCAGCTCCGTTGCTGCACAACAAGTCTGGGGAGTGCCGAATTCTTCGCTACAGCGCACGAAACGCAAAACACGGAGAACACTAAGGAATGTTGACGAGGGCGATGACCGGCCAATGTCAGGGTCGGACATGACAACAACCTCGAAGCCACAGAACCGAGACCCAGAACAAGACACAGCCGGAGAACCCACTGCATCAGGTCGAATACCTCAACAAAGTGGTGCAGAGAGCGACACGGGTCAGGCGCCAATGCCCACTACGGACAACTCGAGCCCCGTCCGAACATCTCAAGAGACCATCGAGATTATCAATGCATCGAGGAGTGATGAAGCCCTGATGCCGGCAGATGCCACGACTCAATCAGCCGAAGATGAAACACGACCCTTGGACCCTGAAAATATTGACACAGCCGCTCAGTTGGAGCTTTCTAAGCCGCTGGGAGAGGAAGATATTTCCGCCTCCATTGAGATCAATCATCGAATGGATCCAGAACAGGAGGATCAACATGCGGTGAACCTGTCGAACTCCCTATCGCAAGCCTCGAGTGCCGACACTCCAAACCTACCATCACGAGGACAAGCCGAAATAGAAGTGAATGCCGAGTCTAATGCCATGAATCCCAGTCTGGGAGTTCACCTAGGTGCCACGCTAGAAGTCCGAACGAAAAGGGTCGGCGGCGTGGACACGGGATTGATTGAGTCATGCAGTCGATCTCATGGAGCCGAGAGTATTCAGGTGAAGATGCCTAATGTGAAAACCCCTACGTCTCGGAACCGCTCACTGTCTCGATCATCGCTCCATGCGCCACAAGTTTTGTCGAGGCCAAGGCCATCATCTCTACAACAATACAGAACTCAACTATTAGACCGACATCCCAGAAGTGCGAATTGGGGACCGCCAGGTTTCCGGAAGTCCAAGTTTGTTGGGGTGTGAATTACGGCCTTTCCTTGTTTTGTTGGGTGCAGGCAGCTCAAAGCGTCGACATGCATGGCCGTCTCAAATGTATGCCTTTGGCTTTGGTTTATCCGTATGTTATCGTCTGTATCCGAGCACTCTGGACAGCAAGCAAGAGGCCCAGACCACGACAGCCACCATCACCCTTTACGCACTTTGTCTGGCGAACGGTGTTTCGGAGAGGCTAAGGAAAAGTTGACTAGCGCTTGTCTGTCACCTCGTTTCTTTTCGGTTGACCAATTTCAACAGGCACACGAGCCACGCGGGAAATTCAGACTTGGGCAGGGAGGGTCCACTGAAAGTCTGTCGATACACGAGCCCAGCATTACATTTGTACCGAGTACACATTCCACATTCCAAATCCACACCAATACCCACTGTTTTGAGTCGAATTGAGAGAAGACGGAGAAGGGGAGAGGGGGAACCGGCAGAAAATAATGGAAATAATAAGTGTGGCGTTGTTTGATGATCACTTTTCGGTAGAAAAAGCAGGTTTTCTTTTTCTGCCCGTTTTTTCCATCTCCTTGGGCTTGGGGGGGGGTCCCGCGTCGTTGGATCTCAGTGGGTCCAAGTTTTTTTGGGTGGTGGAAAGTTATCTGTAAACATCCATGCATTGCATTGCATGTTACCTCGTACATTAGCAGCGCTATTTTTTTTTTATTTCCCCCCCTCTTTGTGTAACAATATAAAAAGACTAGGCTTCCTGCGTGTTGGCAGGGATGGATGGATGGATGGATAAAACGAAGGAGAAGGAGCTGGGAGTTACACAAAAGGACTTGGCGACCTTACCTTGCCCTTGTTCTCCATCGTCACCCCTGGTCAGGACTACCTAGCGAACCAGGTAGTTAGGTAAATATGGAGTCACTGACTCCCCCTGGACAGGATGGGACGTGATGGGTCGATTGGATGCGATTTGTAAAACACATGTATGTACCCTTGTACCCCTTTGCCCTCGTACATACCGTCACCGCGTTTGTCGGGATGTCAGGATGTCAGGGATGTGCATGTTCTGTGGGCATGGGAAACTGAGATTTCCCTTCATACAGAACATGTCCATTCCATCCGTCGCCCTTGTGGGGGGAGTCCCATCCCGTCCCGTCTGCGGAGTATTGTTGATTGATTGAGATTTGTGTGTCCGCAGTACGCCTTGTCCTGTTGGAGAGCGCAGCTGTTCAGCCGCGCAGTTAACTCGGTCATTCGGTCACCCCCTTTCTCTGGGTCCTTGGTTGGTAGGTGGGTAGGTAGGTAGGTACGTACGTACATACGGAGAGACGGGACGGACGGACAGCCTGATCTGATACATAGATACATGGCAATGTGACGCGCCTGGCTGCCTAATTGCCACTATTGCCTCATTATCTACCTGTGTGTGCGCATCATGTATATGGCGAGGCGCGGGCGAGGGCGTGGAGTCTCAGCCTCGTTTCCTTGCCCCAGGGCGGAGAGACGGTGCACCTCTTGGGACACCTCTAGAACATGGCACAGTATAACAACACGCATGCACCGTACCTCAGTAAGGTACGGACAGATGTACGAATTTAGGTGCGTATAGCTCAGGGTGAGAAAACGTACGCGCGCGATACCTCTTTGACTATATATCTAGCTGTGTATCTAGCTGTGCAGTGTTATAGTGTAGTGCAAAAGGCCCCGAAACCTGCACTCTCGCTAACCTGGGAAATCAAAGGGGCTCTACAAGTCCCAATGAAAGATCCCAGAATATGGCTGGGTTTCTTTTTTCAAGACGAAAGGATCTGTCATGTCTGTAGTGTTGATTCATAGGATTGATGAATACTTGATTAAATATGCTGCATTGAGTTCCTTGGGCACTCCATTCCAACCGCGCCGTGCTTCGTCAAGACATAGACTCGTACGATACATGTATAAGGACATTAGGTTATTGAGGTTCTTAATACACCCATCCAAATAGATAATGCAGGTTATCCCGAATAATGAATCATTTGGTCGTTGCATAGTATGATGAAACGGCTTCCCGATTCTCTTCTCTTCCCTTCTCTTTGAGAGAGGCTCGTGTCAACATGCTCCACCGCGCCCCGTCACCGCGCGGAAAGCCAGAGTCTCGATTCTTCTCGCATACAGGTTCATTGAGTGCACTAGAGGATCTCCAAAGATCACTTGTCGCAGTTGCTCATCCTTGACCAGAGATGCGGTCACGTCCGCTTCATTTGCACCAGGACGGTCCGGGATACGGAGTACCACAAGACGACCTGCATTCGACAGCGTTGCGGGAGGGGCGTCCCACCAGAGCTTCCTGAGTGGAAGAGACGGCGGTTTTGATTTTGGGGGCTTGGGTTTCGATTGTTTCTTTGGGGCGGGAATCAGCGAGAGATCGAGTCTCGACATGGACGCTCCCAGCGCGGTCAGTGGGGACACCGAGCACTGCTTTGGCTCAAAGGCTGGTAATGATGGGATTGGTCGCGACAAGAGGTCAACAAGACTTTTCACATATGCCCTTTCGGCCCTCACCACAGGGTCGCCTTCGTTCATAAATGAGTGGAACAGGCACTTACGAAGTCGTCCATCAGCAGTCTCGGGCTTCTGTAGCGGCAAGAGACTAACAGGTGGAGCTCCGAACGTGACACAATGGACTCTCTTAAAACAGCCTGTCAAGATGTTGAGTTCGGACTGAACGGTCTCAGCCAGCATATGGGCATACAACAGACTCGCGACGGCACCACCTGCGGAATGACCTGTGATGAGGAGGGAGCAGCTGGAACGAGATGGGTTCTCTTCCAGCAAGTAGCGAAGTCTCGCAGCAATCGGCTTGACCATCGCTCTGGCGACTCGGAGAAAACCCGAGTGGCAGAGATTGCCCTGGTCGTCCAGGAATCCCACTGGTGACACGGGTTCGGTGTCCAGATTGACTCCCCAGTCGCGCACGCTAAAGAAACTCGTCCCTCGAATGGCGAAGACGATGGTTTTCTTGTCGTCGCATGGAATCGACTTGATCACCATTGCTTTTGTGCCTAAACGGCCGTCTGCCGAGACAAAATCCTTGCGCTCTGCCGAGGATTGAGGGGAGACGTATGCGCTGTTCGAATACTGTGCCGCGAGACACAGAAGCGGCCACGTCGGTATATATACTCGAAATGGTTGTAGAGACTCAGGCAATCGCGAATTCATGTACAGGTCAAGCTTCGAGAAGACGTTGGTCTGCTTCTGTTGCCCTTGTTTCTTCTGTCTCGGCGGCACTTTCTCAACCGCTCCGAGCGCCCGCGTCATATCCCGATCCATTGCATAGGTCTCTTCGAAATCCCGCGCTCCAAAATCTCCCTCTGTGATCATCATTTCTTTTTCCGCGCCCGAAAATGCATCTTCATCAATGAGGGATATAACGTCGCCCAACTTGTGGTCAATTCGCTCTCGCAGCTCGATTCGCGTGGGCACTGTCGGCGGACTGACATTCATAGGATTCGAGGATGGATGTGACCATGTATGTTGATATTGCAGAGGCATTGTGTGGTACTCGGTCTGTATACTCTGCACGGGTGGTAAGGAGAGAGTCGAGGTCATGTATGGATGGAAGGCTGGAGCGGTGTATGTTGCGGGGTGCGGCGTCCATTGAGGTTGGGGTTCCTCGTAAATGACGGTAGAGGTATTCACAGCATAAGTGGGATGGTTCGGATGAAAGACAGGAACAGTAGCAGCTGGAGGTTGTGCGTATTTGCGGCGCTTGCGGCTGTCACTGAAGAAGAAAGACATTCTGCCAGCGAGTGCTCACGCTACGCTCAAGGTGCGGCTTCTACCTGAATTTCATATCAACAAGAAAATGCTGTCGTTCTAGAGGGGCTTCACTATGGGAAAGACAGAAACGATTCTCACATGACTGTTTGCCTGGAAAGAGAGCATTAAAAGCTGTTGAACCTTCTGTACTTGTGTCGCTCGTCTGGCTTGTCTCATTGCTCTTCTCCATTTCGCCTTGTTGCCTTTCCTTTGCCCTATCATTGTTAACCGCCCGCCTAAAGATTCGGAATTGTCGGGTTGCCGCGCCTGCGCCACGATTGGGGGCCCAATCACCACGGCGTATCTCGACGTTCGCAGAGGCTTCCAGGGACGATCATCAGTCGAACCTGGTCATCTGAGGGCAATGATAGGCACGGAACTTGCCTTGGTTGTCCTACCCAGCAAGGCTGATAGGCATAAAAGGAAAGAGCCTGACATTTTTAGGCGATGATCTTCGTTCCAGGGAAACTGACGGTGTCAATAGCAGCCTGATTTTCGGACTTACCCCTGACGTTCGTTCGCTAGGCTCGCCTCGCCCAGCTGGAATTAACCGTTAACTATTTATTACGAGGTACTCGGTAGCCACCTCCACGATGTCATCAGCTACTCATGTAGCGTCACCAGCGCGGAAAGTTACATGCCTTCGTGCACCTTCAGATGGCTGTGACCTTCTTGCATGGTGCGTAGGCGTTCGCCTGTATAACACTTACGAGTAACTGCAGAAGTAGGCGATTCCCAATGCTCGCCCCGAATTCTGCAGTGTTCCCAGATCGATTTCATCGAACATGGTGCTTCAGCACCATCGGTGGCCTTCTATTGCATTCGAGCTCCATTCCTCTACTTCACCTTCGCTCCCTTGATCCGCCTGACTGATGGACCTTGACCATGAAAGTGGGCGAGTTCCAGTAGTTGTCAAGGACATGCCAAACATCGTCACATTTTTGAGGACAATGCTATTGAACCAGCATCTTGGTCACTCCATAATGGTCGAGTGTTAATCAAACACGGTGGCAGACGACCAAACAGTCACAGAGAAAGAAGCACAACTAGCAAGCGTAAACGATAGCCGGAGGTTGCTCGGAAATGTATGCTGCCATCTCATGGTCAGACCAGCGTCCCAAGAGATCCGATTCTCTAAAGGCAAAAGTGGAATGATCACAGCGTTCCAGTCCTGTCTTGGAACCAGGTCGGAAACCTGCTCCGATCATGACAGGTGGTTGATCAACCAGATCTCGCCTACTGCTGGAGCGGACCGCTCTCGTCGACCGACACCCAGTTCGCCAACGCTCTGGCTAGGCCTGGGCTTCTTTCCCTCAGGGGCCGGTTTTCATTACCCACGGTGATCACATACGCTAATATTCTCAGACTGTTGAGAAAAGTACTATGTTTACTTCCTCCTCCCACCGGGGTGGCACACCCAAAGCAAAGCGCACTATACACCCATGATGGCGGCATGCGATATCACAAGAGCAGCAAGAGATCTCGATCCATGACTGAGAAGTCAAGCAGTCTGGAGTTCGGCCAAGTGGAGACTCCAGCTTTCGTTCTGAGAGATTATTACCCAGTCGAGACATGAATTGAAAAAACTTCAATGTACTTTATGGCCAGAATCAGCTATCCACTCGGGTGGACAAAGACGAGCATCCACGTCATCACATTGGTCGACTGGGGCTGCCAGGACAACACGGAGTACTTCAAGTACCAAGCAGCTCCTCGACTCGATTCATATCAAACCGCAGTTGTGTGAGTGGACACAATCTTCAGTCCTGGTCTCGTGAGCTCCAACATCATTCAAGCAATTTATCCTCAACTTGTTTTTGTGAATAGTTTTCCCGGCGCAATCCCTCGGGAAGAAGGCGTCATAACACATGCACCGCGACTGAGGGTATTAAAGGTATGGACGGGGCTCTCGCTTAAGGGACCGACGTTCCATGTGTGATGGAGTCAAAAGTGTAACATTCACGATGACCAATCCTGTGCTGTGGTAGTTCTGCTTGAGAAGAGAAATCCCGATTGCGGATTGGCCCCGTACAAAACAAAGCAATACGGAGAGGTGTCGGGGATCAGCATGACAGTGTGTCGTTGGTAAGCTTCCGCATGGCCTGCCCCTGCAGACGCGTCCCAGGGTCGAACCATGCCTCTAAAGCAAGGTCCTTGAAGCGCGAGATTGATGCTAGAAGATGAGGAGGAGAGGTGGAGGGACATGACTGCGATGAACTGAACAGACTGCCCGTCGAGTCAGTCCTCGGTTCGATGCTCCTACGCTTCAAAAGGTTCTGATGGAGCTGAGAGCTCTCCACCACCGCTCTTGGTCTCGGCCGCCGCAAGCTTTCTTTGCATGTACACATATGTAGGTACGGAGCCGAACTATCTGGCGTGTTGGCTGGGGATTTTCCTGATCTACCGATCTCATGCGCGTGGTGGCTCTCCCGAGCCCAATGGGCTTTCTCGTCCAGTGGCTCTTAGTCAACAGTAGTCATCGACCACCTTAACGAAGTACCGGGTGCGAGTAGGCACAAGGACACGAGTAAACCAACACGCGGTGTGGCTGAAGAAAGGGGATCAAACGGGGATTGAAGCCCGTCTGAGTAAAAGTGACGAGACGCCAGGTGAAGCACCCGCTTCCATGGCCAATGGGGCGAGGATGGAACATGCCTGCGGACTGCGGAGTGGCCTTTGGACTGCGCGGATTGCAGCCTGCGCTTTTGCCGGCGCAGTTGACAAAGCCCGTACTGCCCAGGCGTGGTGAGCCCATGGTACAAATCTTACTTGTTTTATCTACGTCGATCGAGGAAACACACTGCAATCGCAATTTACCATGGTCCTTTTCTGCCTGACCCTGTTTATTTGCCCGGATCTCGAAGCATGCCCCCCTCGCCAGAGGATTTTTTATCCGCCATCAACGATCGTCCCCTTCAACTCTGTTTCGGTGGACATCCCAAGCTCTCTCGTCCAATCATTTCGAGGGCCGCAACTTCTCAATTCGACCCTGCCGCGTGCGAGATGGCTTCGCTAATCCGATGCAGCAGATTCACATCGATCTGGGTGCAAGAGAGAGGCTGAAATTCTAGAATTGGCACAATTCGACGACCGCCATTGAAAATAATGATAAGTCTACAGTTTCCCGACTTCCTCCTTTCTTCAGGATGAATCCGAATCTACGAGTACCTGCTCTGTGCACCACCAAAAGCCTTTTCAAAGACCAGACTTGTATGTCCTCCGGTAATCGACATGTCCAAGAATGGGCATCCGACGGTTTATCTGTTCGTTAACAAGGACAGAGCTTCTGTGTCTCTGTCCAGATGCCATGGCAAAGACGCCTCGGCTATCCTAAGCCATGTACAATCATGCCGCAACCAGAAGAACAAGCAGTTGCACATGTTCAGAGTCGAAGACACCACGGAGCTCACCTCAGGACCTCCATCCCCTCGAAAGCAATCCATCAGCCACAAACATCGTTCGCCGAGATCAACACCGCCTCTGCGAAGTGAGACACCATCAAAACCCAAGACCCGTGTATCATCGGTAGGGCCCGAGTTTACAGTTGGGCCAGGGAGCCCATTTCCATCGGCCAACTCTCCGGGGAAGTCGCCCGAGGTCGAAGAACTGTTACAGTATTTCAACTCTCTATGTCTTAACCCCGAGCCACGCTCACTGGGCCAATCACAAGGCCGAGATCTCTTCCATCAGCTTGTCTCCTGTGAAGATTTCTCGAGCTTCTCGACACGGACAGTCGGTGGAATCCACGGATTTGCCATGCTTGCTTGTACAGCTGCTAGGATGGGGGCAGATATACCCACTCGACGCGAGGAATTCGAAATCAAGGCGACCAAGTACATGCAACCGTCTCTCCAAAGACTCCGGGAGCAGCTCGGCGACCCAGCTCTGAGAACGTTGACGGACCGACAAATTCTGCAGGAAATGCTGCTCCACTGTGTGACAAATTGGTATCTTCAGGACTATACGGCTGCACAAACGCATCTCAAGGCCATCAATTGTTTTACCGGCTGTCTCGATGTCTCCGACAGTTCAGACCGCAAATTGATGGATCTCATCAATCGGTGCCGTCTCTTTATCGCGAACAGCATACGCGCTGAGCAGACCTCACGTCTCAATTTGGGTCAGAGGACAGAGTCCTTTGCCGCGCGTGGTTTATGCCGGGTGGTCTAGGAACGTGAAAGCCCCCATCTGTGGATGCACCGCGAGAAACTACCTGCGGAAGACGAATCCGAGCGTCTACACTGGCGCAATTCCAATCAGAGCCGGGCCGCACGTGACCGACACCAGTACGTTCCCTGGTGGAGTTCGGGATTTATATTAACTGACTTTGCTAACGGAAATGCAAAGCCGCCGATCAATATTTTCTCGTGCTTGGATCGGCGATGATCGGCTCTTGCAAGAGGGTGGCGATCGACGGGTCTTCACAATGGTGGTTGGGGACGATGGACTCACATGTGGCTCTTTGGGGTGGGATACTTCTGTCGGGGAATTCCCGTACAACAGCGCCTGTGGTTTGTCTACCATGCGTATCAGAAGACTAGCCGGATCTATGGACTTTGGGCAGGGTGTTGTCTAGCCCAAAGACTCTCAGCTGGAGGATCCCGCGCCGGGGATAAAGATACCTTTAGGACCTTCCACTCCATATGATATTGAAACTCCTGCTTGAAATTTGTCGTTGCAGGGGTGCATGTTGCTTGTTGAGATATGACAGTGAACATGGGGGGCAATGGGGTTCGAAGGTCTAGCAGCTTTGCTGCTCTCTTGTACGAACAGACCTCTGTTACATACTATTCGAGAATGCGGCGCAAGAGGCACCGCCGTCACGGTAGTCAATTCATCATTTGGTCATTGAACTGTGTGTGATCTCCTTCCTGGCTTGGATGCTCTCGACCCTTATCCACAACCCTTGTATTCCTACCACAGATTCTCATAGGGAGAGAACATAAACTCATCATCTGGACCACTCCTCGAACCCAGGTCGACCCATAGTCGTGATGGGGTCTTTCTCTGCTATCTCGTTCCGTTTTCTTTGCGAGAGGTACCAAACACCACCCAATCATTAGCAAGGCAAGGAACTTCCTAGAGCAGACCAATCGCTCTCCCCACTTGGAAGGAACATGACGATACCTCGCATGCAAATATGCTGGGGCATCTTCCACTGCTGACTGCATGCCTCTCAGATGGCACAAATTCTCGATCACACACCTGTTCGCGTGTGGTTCGAATCCTCTCTCTTTGACATTGTAACGTCTTTCTTGAGCTGAACGCCTTTTGCTAGATGTGAACTACCTCAATCAGGCAGCTTGCTGGCCACATTGAGTATACGGGGATGAAGTCGACCAGGGGTACAAGGCAAATCGCAAGGCCTGGTCGTCGAATCAGTTTCTCATATTCATTCAGGGGCTTTTGTTTCAGGGGTAGAAGGGTGCCAAGGAAGATATATCGCCAGAATGACCCGATTCAAACCCAATTGAACGATCTCGGCTTGTGCACAACAGTGGTCGTGTTTTGTACAACACATTTTGTCGAAGTAGCAGCCACACCTTGCAGCAGTTGACCTTTTCGGTTGCTTGGATCGGTGATTGCACAAACAAGGCAACAGGTCGAGCAAGCGAGGCCAGTTCTCAGACCACCAGCGGATGACGTCAGCTGGAGGACGCAGCCAGCACCAGCCATCACCAGTCACCGCAAGTTCACTCAGCATCGCCAATTGTCACACCTCCCAACCAACTCCCATCACCCGCACACCACTTGGTGCCTAGGCTGGCCCTGTCCACTGAGCCATTCAGATTCCACGCGCTTTTTCGGGGGAGCGCTGGGCGAAAAAAGCAATCTGCTGGGCTCTGAACCGATGCGGTGTCCGAAGAGATTTTTTTTCAGCTCAATGCAGTTTACTCTATCGTTGTGCTTGAGTCCGTCCATTGACTCAGAACTTGTCCCGAAACTTATTCACAATGTCTACACGGGGAGATGACCGCTCCTATAAAGTCGTGTACGCCAGCCGAACCAGAGATGAAATCGATGACCGGGTCCCCACCCGGAAGCCAAGGCGGGAATATGACTACAATGATGAGTATCGTGTTGAAAAGTCATACTCACGAGACTATCGTGATGACCGCATTGAGGTTGATAGAAGATCAAGGACCAGTGACATACGCACTCAATTGCCCCCACCAGCAGGTGCGACAAGGACAACTTACGAAGTCGGCCGCGATAGAAACTCCGAATCATATGTCAAACGTTCCAATGCTGTGATTATTGATCGACCCCATGATCATGGTCGATACGAGTATGAGGTTCTGCGACCCCAGCGGAGAGATGATGGAACTTACGTCGTCGATCTTGATGGCGGACGCTCCCGCGGCTATCTGGTTGATGTCGACTCGAGGGGTTATGACCAAACTCCACGCTCAAGATATGCCGATCCACCATTGACGACCTCCAAGAAGGTTGATGATGTGTTTATGTATGAGAACATTCGAGGTGGAGGTCGTGATAGAACAGTGAGAGATGTTCGTTACAAGGATGTTCAGGTTACGGAAGAAATCGACGACGACGGTCGCTACAGCCGCCGAGGGCGCACTTCGGACGCTTATGTCGACGATATTGCTCCACCGAAACGACTCAAGAGTGCAATGCGCGGCGGCAATAATTCTCCACCCTCTCTCGCGGGACGACGCAGCGAACACAGTGTAGGATTTTACAGAGATCAAATCAGTCACCACGATGCTAGTGAAAGCAAGCACGAAAGACCCGGGGCCGAGGCACACCTGGCTGGTCGCTATCTCGTTGGTAATGGAGAGTTTGAGGACGGTCTCTATGCGGCGGGTTACACTCGCCGAAACAGGAGCCGAAGCCGCTCCCGAGTGAGATACGGTCCTCAGAGGAGTGACCCGAGAGTCCATGAGCACGAGGAAGAGGATGATGAGCGACGGACATATACAGAGGAAACAATGCGACAATATGAATATGAAGATGACCAACAGCCCCGGTATCCTCCTCAGAGGAGCCACTCTCGAGGCCGACACCACCATCGTCACCACCGTGATGATGACCGCTCGAGCTACTCGGACTACGACACTGAAGTGATCAAACGAACCACAAAGGAATATTACCGATAGGATTGGAAGATTTCGACCTATGCTCTGGTTCCTACTGTACTCTCAGGATGTGGCTGACCAGTCAAAAGGGAAAATGGACCATGTTGCAGGCATATCTGTGGTATTTCAAAACACTAGGAAAGGCTTCGTGAGCATACTATCTGGGTATTGTGTTCCTCAGCTCCTCCACTCGCCACTGTCTTTCAACAAGCACGACGATTTTGCTAGGTATCAATCTAGACCAAATCCTACGCTTCCGCTCACTGCCACTCCTTCACTGAGGCCCAAATTCCTTTGCCCCGATCGACACGGCAACACCAGCCTTCTCCTCGATTGAATCTTCCTCCGATGGAGCGACTCCCACTTCCACATCCGTTGCTTGTGACTTCGATGGTGGATAGACCGCCTCATCAATCTTCGCAACACCCACGCTCGAGACGTAAGTGCAGATGAGGTAGTAAACGAGGCCGGAAACGGTGAATCCATAGATGCAGGAGAAGGTATAGATCTTCCAAGCACCTCCAACGTCGAGGTTTGCGTCGATACTCTTACAAAAACCTGGCAGGAGCGGTGCAACGGCTGTGAAGAAGGACGCATAGGCTCTCCAATTGATGCCGACCTTGGAGTATCGGTAGATGCCATGGCCGTTGTACATCTCGTGAATATTGAGCTTCTTGTTGACGATGAGGTAGTAGTGACTACACATCGTCCCGCAAATGGCTCCCATGAACATGCTGTAACCGGACAAGAAAGCCAGCAAGCCGGCCGCGTTTTTGATGATCTGCCATGGATTCGACACTACACAGAAAACGGAGATGATCAAAGTGGCACGGAAGATGTTAATGTACTTGGGGCAAAGACCAGAAACTTGCATCCGGTTAGTTCTGACGGCTCGACTTTTTCATATCAACGACCAGCAAACACTCACTATCATTGGAGAACGGATATGTCCCAGCAGCAATCTGGTTACCGATTGTGGCCAACATGAAGCTGAACGCGGTGAAGAACTTGGCGGCACGCGAGTCGAATTTGGCAATGACAGCAGGCATATACCACTCGAACTCGCCCCACAGGTAGCTGTGGGCTGAGGTGACGAAGATGGGGGTCAAGGCTCCCAACGTGCCGATGACTGGCAGTGCAAAGAATTGGTTGTACCCTTTGAGGTTGTTCTTGGAGAAACGACTAAAGTCCGGGAAGTTGACGGCCATGGAGCTGAAGAGGCCGATGATTGCATTCAAGCCGGTCAGTGAGGAATATGCCGTGTTCATGTATGTCGAAGTGATTTTGGCGTGCCCAGTCACAAGGGGCCCGCCTCCCTTTGTGACGATCGCCGCCCACAAGAACAGGACAAGGAAGGTCGGCGGAACGACAACACCCTTGATGAGGAAAAGGATCCGGAGCTTCTTGATGGGCATACATGCTAAGATCGTCTGGAAGATCCAGTAAATGAACTGGGAAATGATCAGTCCTCCGTTTACATGCGGTCAGTCAGTATGCTCACAAAGCACAGGAGTCCAGCCGAAGTGATCCCAGCACTCTCAGGCAGATGATTTGGAAAGTTGGCGAAGCTCGGCCAGATCGCTGTGAGACAGTTGTTGAGAAAGTCACCTGCCTGGACACACAGAATGGCAGCTGTTCGCCCAAGTCAGCTCGGCAATCACATCGACACGAGTCAAAGAGTATAAGAAAGTGATGTTGGCCTTACTCCACATGGCGGCCACGAAGGACCGGAGAACAATGACTGGATAACTTCCATACATTCCGAAAATGGAGCGGACCAGCACTGGAAAGGGAATGCTATATCGCGCACCCATCTTCCCCGTCAGGGTCAATGCTCCTGAGCATAACGCGAAGCCACAAAAGACAATGGGAATCTACCAGTGTGCCGTCAGCATCCGAAAGACTTCCTGGAAGGGGCAGAGTTCTGCGAGTGTTTTCCTCAAGCTGGTACAGAACCGATCTTACTCACCGTCTCTCGAGCAGTAAAACCCAAGCTCATGACAGATGACACTGTGGATGCCAGCGGGGGCGCAAGCATGTCACTGGTCCAATATGCCCAATAGTCCTATGGAAGGGAGGTCAGTCTGATGGGTCTTGACTGCATCGCGGTGGGAGGGACAGGGCACGTACCACAGCACCCCAAGTACCTGCAGCTATCAGTTAGCCAGGGCATCAAATGGACCAGAACTCTGGGCGACGACTCTGCAGAGTTGAAAGGGGGTGGGTGGGACTTACGATCCTCAGGTTTGACAGGGTCGAGATCTGGGTTGGACCAGCGACTGTCTTGGTACACTCCCTCCTCCATCGGGACTTTCCAATGCAGCTGAGGCTCAATCTTGGCCTTGATGTGCTTGGGCGAAAGGCGCTTCGGGGAGAAGCGGTCTTTGGAGAGTTTGACCATGGTGCAGGTTGGAGTATTCAAGTCAACGACCAAGTTGGATCAGAGAAATGAGTGTTGAAGAGTTGGGAATCCTCTGGTGCAGCTGGGAGGCGAACTGGAGATCTATATAGGTCTTCAGCTCATGAGTTGAAGAAGCTCAACTCCAAGGCTGGACACATGCAGGATAGAAGAGATGAGTGGGGCATGCACGATAGAGACAAGGGCGCCACGAGGAGGAACGGGAAGATAGGCCCCGCGGCATGGTAGTCGAAGGCCCGCCGAGGTCTTCAGATCTGCACATCCAGACCCATCAAATCTGTAGAGATGCAAATCCGGGGTCAGGATGCGTCATGGATAAAGCCCAGATTCAAGATACAGGGGCAGCCTTGGGGTGGGTTGGACTTAGATAAAGCCGCCGGCCACTGAAGGCGCCGGCGGCGAGGCTCCTGATACTGCGGTCACGTGCTGTATGGCGGTGACGATACCGCCGCCGGCCACAGAGCGAATTATGGCGCAGTGGGCGCCGGCGCATGAAATATTACACGGCGGCCGATACTAGGCTAGCCTATTGCGGTGTTTCCGGCGGCGTTGGTCTTATCCGTTATCAAGGCCTCGTCTTGCGCTCAGGTACAAGCACAGCATTGGTTCAATGGCCCCGATGGATCAACCACCTCCAGATTTGGCACGCTGTGGTTGGCAAGACCTTGAGCGTTCTGGATGTTTTCTTGACTAAACGACATCGGATGATCACCATCATACTGTGTACAAGTATTGATTCAGCCCAGATGTTCTCGAGGGGGTTGTTTCTTGTATAAAGCCTCACATCTCCGTCAGCTGTAAGCCCCGACTCTTTGTAGCGTTCACAGACAACGTAACGCTTTGCGAGTGGTCAAGTCACCAAATATGGGTATGTCAAAGGACAAGCAAGGCTTCCTCACCATCGAGGCAAAGCCCTACCCCTTTTCCTTCCCTCTCAAGCACACCGCGCTGCTGGTGATTGACATGCAGCGCGACTTCATCTGTGCTGGAGGCTTTGGCGAGATCCAAGGCGGGAATCTAGAGGCTGTACAGGCCTCGATTGCTCCGACGAAGAAACTACTGGACGCATGCCGTGATGCTGGCCTGCACATCTTCCACACCAGAGAAGGACAAGTCCCTTCGCTAGCTGACTGTCCTTCGTCGAAACTCGTTCGACAGGCTGCCGCCCCGGCCAACACGCAGCATCTGAAAGTGATTGGCGACAAAGGCGACATGGGCCGTCTCTTGGTGCGCGGGGAGTACGGGCATGACATCGTCGACGAGCTGCAGCCACTACCTTCCGAGGTCGTCATTGACAAGCCCGGCAAGGGGTCCTTTTGGAACACTCCTATCCTCCACAAGCTGAAAGCCTACGGAATCACTCACCTTCTCGTTTCGGGCGTGACGACCGAATGCTGCTTCTCAACCACCATCAGAGAAGCGAATGACCGAGGGTTCGAGTGCTGTGGCATCGTCCAGAGCACTGCCGGCTACAACGCGGCCTTCAAGACCGCCTCCCTGGACATGATACACTGGTCACAGGGCCTGTTTGGGTTTGTGGCCGATCTCCAACCTGTTCTGGACGTGCTTTCCCCGTGGCAAAGTCAGAGCAAAGGAGTCAGCACGCCTCCACAGACACCGCCGTCCTGGAATGGGAAGCTCGGGATCGCTGACCTCCAAGCCTCGTACGAGCGCGGATTGTCCCCCCTTGAACTGGTCAATGCGCTGTTCGACCGGATCGAAAAGTATGAACACATTGACGGGGCGGTCTGGATCCGACGAGAGTCGCGCGAGGCAGTGCTGGATCAAGCCCGACGCCTGCTCGAGCTGTACCCGAACAAGAATGCGCGCCCGGCATTGTTCGGTGTGCCGTAAGTAATTCCAGATTATTGGGGGAGTAGTAGTCCCTCCAATGTTCTCTGTTTCCCACAGCACTTTGGTGCTAACTGATTCGACAGTTTCACGGTCAAGGACTCTATTGACGTCCAAGGAGTCGAAACCACCACGGCTTGTCCCCCACTGGCATTCGTGGCGACCAGATCCGCAACGTGTTACCAGAAGGTGGTGGGACAAGGTGCCCTATACCTGGGCAAGGTCAACTTGGATCAATTGGCAACTGGACTGAGCGGGTGCAGAAGTCCGTTTGGCATCACACACTCCGTTTTCAGCGACGAGCACATCTCTGGCGGGAGTAGTAGCGGAAGTTGTGTGAGCGTAGGCGCAGATCTGGTAGGTTGATTGCTTGCCTCGAAGGAGGCCTTGTGTTACTGACAGTGTGTGGTTTCCAGGCGACCTTCTCGCTAGCAACAGACACCGCTGGGTCTGGACGAGTGCCAGCTGGCTTCAACGGTGTTGTGGGATACAAACCTACACGCGGGTTGGTGTCTTTTGAGGGCGTGACGCCTGCTTGCTTGTCGCTTGATTGCATCGCTTTCACGGCCAGGACGGTCGAAGACGCACGCACGCTGTGGCAGGTGTGCGAGGGATACGATGAAAACGATCGTTATGCCAGAGATACGTGAGTTTCTATATGCAGAACCAGAAACGACTTCACTGTTCTTGGTCGCAGGGCATGCGGGCTAACAGAGGGGGAACATGACAGATTTCCGGCTGAACGACACGTCAACTCGGTAGGGGCACAAAGAGAAACCTTTCGATTTGGAATCCCTCCTCCCGAGCTTCTCGAAGTGTGTTCGCCTAGCTTCCGAAAACTGTTTAATGAGGCCATCTCACGACTTCAAGGCATGGGAGGCACTCTGGTACCCATGGACTGGACTCCATTCCAGAAAGCGGGCGACTTGCTCTACGAAGGCACGTTCGTCTCGGAGCGATTGGCTAGCTTAGCAGACGATTTCCTGGAGCAGAACAGGCAGCATCTGCATCCAGTCATCCTGGAATTGTTCGAGAAGGTGGTGGCACGACAGAGCACGGCGGTGCAGTTGTTCAGAGAACTCCAGGCCAAGGCGCTGTACACGCGACAAGCCACGTCGCAATTCAGGTCTGCAGATCGATCGGGCCTTGACGTCGTGGTGGTGCCCACGGCGCCGTGGCATCCCACCATCAAGGAAATGCTTGCAGATCCCATCCGGCTGAACGCGAAGATGGGCACCTTTACCCATTTCGCCAACGTGTTGGACATGTGTGGCATTGCCGTGCCATCTTCGACGTACCAGGAAAGCGAGGCTGGACCTCGATTGCCCTTCAGTATCACGTTGCTGGGCAGCCGTTGCTCGGACAGCGAGGTGCTGGATATCGCCAGCCGCTATCAGGAGGCGACGGCGCGATAGGGCAGTTTGTGGCGTGTGAGCGAACGAGATGAGCTGGATTTGTATTGATAGAGAGAAGCGAGAGCGAGAGCGAGCGCGAGAAAGAGAGAGGGAGAGAGAGAGAGCTGTCGTGTGCATTGCTGCATTAGAGGGTGAGGCCAGCTGCAAGCCACATGCGACATGGCGATATGCCAATAACAAAAGGTTGAAAAGCGCATCTTCAGCTGCGTCCCACGCCCAGCAACACGGTCAGTGGCTCATGAAGCCCCATGGAGGCCCCCATATTGGCCCATATTGGTCCATGATGACCCGTGGTGACGCTGCGATAGTCACTATTATTTATGACAATTTCTCCGCTGGTGCCGTGGGTGCCGTGGATGCCGTTGGCTCGCTCAATCACCCTGTCGCTCCCTTGTTCAGCCAATCGAATCCTCAACTTCCTTATCTCAACCTCCCCTCGCAACCCGACACTAGATGGCCTTGTCGTGCCCCTTGGGTCCCCTTGGGTCCCCTTGTCTATTATTTCTTACTCAATCAATTGCAGCGCCATTCGCTATACCGGGCTAGTCGTCGCATCTCCTCAACGCCCATTAGTCGCCCGGGATCCGCCTCGCAGGCTCAACTTTCGGTCGAGATCTTGCCTTTACCCGTTTTCTACCTTCCCCCCGGCATGCCAGACAACGAACAAGTCCTACCAGAGAACAGAAGCTTATCCTGACGCGCCTTCAGGGACACAATCGATCCGAGAAGCAGTTTGGAAAATGTCATTTTAAAAAATAACATGAACACAAGTAAAAAGGAGGATCGTCAAATCCCTGATATGGATCTCCTGGCCTTGAAAGATCCCTTGGGTTCTCCTTGCCCAATAAAGACCATCACTTCTTCCTAGACGAAAGAGGGCCCTCACAAACCACACCCCCCCCGGATCGATACTCTAAATCGTCATGCTCTCGACCATGTCGCCTACTTCGTTGGGTGACGCTGCGACTAATAATAATGGTGTCAGTCCTCCCTTTGCCGGTCCTGGTCCTGGTAGTGTGAATGCTATGACATCGTCCCCATCTGCTCGCGTGGGAGAAGGGCCGAGCCCCCTAGGCGTTCGACCCGATCGACCTTGTGATGGCTGTCGACGTCGCAAGAGTCGCTGCGTCATCAATCCCGATGCTGCCTCGTGTGTGATGTGCCAATTCCACAAGCAGGCCTGTACCTTTATCGAAGACGCCGCTCCACGGAGACGAAAGCAACCCAACAACAACAACACCAACAATAACCACGTCTACAACAACCACAACACCGTCACTGGAGGCACTGTCAGTTCCGAGAATGCTTCGGTTGCTTCCCTAGCTCGGCAAAGACGCTCGTGAGGGCCCCCCCCTCCTGTTCCCCCGGTTTCTTCCCACTTGCTTTATCAATCGCAAAGAGACAGAGATTATCCACCCCTCCTCTCCCTTTCGTCCAACCCAAGATTACTGCTACTTCCTTTCCGGATCTTGCATATTTGTTCCCACCCCCAATCCCATCCATCCCCTATCACCACCAGGCTAAGACATAGATAACAGAGGTTCCGATGGCAACGGCCATGCCCCACGACGGCAATCTGCTGAATCCATTCGAATCGGTCCTGTCATCGACGATTATGCAAACTTGCAGGGCGAGTCATTGCTCAAAAAAACCTTGGGGTATGTATGACCGCTGTTGATGGTGGTTTTGGCAAAGTTCCTATTCCGCCAGAGCCTGGTCTCCTCTCCAACCTGTCCGCCGCCCCTTCTTTGAAAGCTGACAATGGTCATGGACAGGCTGCAAAATCATAGATATGCAAAATGTAGGTTGCCGTCCTGCTCTATTGGTGATGTGATCTTCCCAGCGAAGGACCATCCGCGATTTTGTTATAGATATCTCACTAAAACTCCTTGGTAGATATTGGTCCGACCGACGAGCATGACTTTGCACTGTTAGATCTTCGACTGTACGACGACATCAAGGGTGAAAGTCCCGCCGACCAGGGCTCCTTTCGCAAAGTCGGTCCCAATGAATTCTTCCACCAATACGCCGACTCGGACTCGCCCAACCATGCTAGGGAGGTTGAGGAGCTCGACAATATCGAGCGCATTGTCGCCCCTCACGGCGAGGCTCTGATAAGGCTCTACTTTCGGATTGTCCACCCGACCTTTCCCATACTGCATAAGAAGGTCTATCTGGAGAAGTATGGCCGGACCCATCGGGAGTTCTCCCCTCCCTTGCTCGCTGCCGTCTACATCCTGGCGTTGAATTGGTGGTCATACAGCATCGAGCTCGCGAGGCAGACAAAGCCCAACGTCGCCGAACTAGAAGATGTCGCGTACCGGACGTTACAGGATGTGTCGCATCGAGCAAAGTTGTCTACGGTCCAGGCAGGGCTTCTCCTGCTCCAACGACCGGGTAGTAATCAGGCCTGGCAGCTGACGGCCCAGCTTGTCGCCATTGGCCAGGATCTAGGCCTACATCTGGACTGTTCAAACTGGCGAATACCGTCGTGGGAAAAAGGGCTTCGGAAACGACTTGGCTGGGCTCTTTTCATGCAGGACACATGGTCGGCCCTGATCTACGGACGGCCGCCTCACATTTCAAACACCAACTGGGCCGTGCAGCCGGTGATCAGCAGTGATTTTCCCGAAAGCGCCGCGGACGAGGACGAGGAGGACGGTAGCACCGAGGTCGAAAAGGGACGCACGTTGTTCAGCGCCATGATCACTCTAACTAAGATGCTGGCCGAGGTGCTGGAGGAACTCTACTCGCTGAGGGCAGAGCTCGAGGTTAAGAACTCGTACGACAGCACCAAGGCCATCCTCGACCGCGCCAAACCGATCCAACTCAAGCTGCGATCATGGTATACTGAAATGCCCGAGACGCTGCGCATGGATGCCACCAGGGTCGGCAAGCTGAGTTCGGTGGGCTATCTGCACCTGGCCTACTTTGCCACTGAAATCACCCTGCACCGACGGATTCTACGCTCGCTCTCGCCCAATACCGACCCCTATATGATCCAGATATGTCGGTCGGCGGCCAAGGCCAGGCTGATCAGCGCTATGGACTTTTTCAACCGGCTCAAGCCCGAGCACCTCCAGTCGTTCTGGTACTTTGCATCCAAGTTCAACTTTGCCCTCATTGGCACTTTCGCCGGGCTCTGCTTTGTCACATCGGTGAGCCAGGAAGAGGCCGAATTCTACCAGAGGCGGCTGCAGGAATATCGGTGGACGCTGCGGGTCTCGAATAAGAGCGCCGAGTTCTTGGAAATTGCCAGCGGCATTTTGGAATCGGCTGTGGGATCGCTGCTGAAGGCTGCTGACGCTATCGACAGTCGGCGGTGGTCATTCCCCATGCTCTCACAGCAGCAGCTGCCCGATGATGACACGGCGATGGACTCGTTCTTCCCTAGCACCGACGACGCATTTTTCGATACACAGATGGAGTCTTGATTGGGTAACAAGACTTTTCGGACAAAAGCTCTATTTATGACACATAAATTTTGCTGGATGGAAGGCTTTGGCGAGTTCCCGATGACTTGTCCAGTTCAGCGCGCTCTGGCTTATCGTCGGGTTCCCGAGCTCGCTGCTCACCACACCACTCCAGGGCGGACGATGTATCCGCAAAATTGTGAGATCTCCACCACGCAACGACGGCGAATACTATCTGGCCCCATTGGATGACATGATGACATGACGACAGAATCTGGTTACACGAAACGCGGGTCGCTTCCAATCCGAGATCCAGCGGACTGGAAGCGGTCAAGTCCGATAAACGGGCTGCCGACAGCAGGGGCAGAGGGGCCACCAGGGCTGTTACCGCAGCCACCAGAGTGGCGCTCATCTGCATGTCACTAGGTACATACTAGGTACCGAGGACATGTGCATATGTACCTCGTTGCTTACGTCAAGGCTGTTTGATGCCGAGAGAAATGTCGACTCGGGACTGGTGATGCTGAGATTGCACGCTCAAAGGCTCTCGAGGTACGGAGGTTGCGATGGCCATCCTCACCATCGAACTGCAAGGTATCGAGCATGGAGAGCAGCGGCAGCGGAGCCTCATGGATAAATGCGCTAGGACAACAGCGAATACTTCTAGGGCGATGAACATACGAAGGCTGTGGCTAGCTAGGCTATGCCCTTTATCTGCGCATTCTTGGGCGTTTTGGTTCGACAGGGACAGCGCAAGCCTGAAGGGGTATTGAGACTGGGGCCTCTTCTGCACTTGAGGCTGACCGACAGCAGACGTCTATCGTGTCGTTCACTCGTTGGCGCTCTCGAAATTCGCCTGCGTCCGGGCCTGTCTCCGATTGGTGATATGTGCCTTGAACAGTCTGACCAACGATTGCTTCTTCTAAACTTGTCGGTGGACAGTCCAAGGCCTCGTTTGCAGCCCTGGTCCAGGATCCGAGCAGCGGCCTGTTATTAAGTACTCCTCTAACCTACCTAAAATAGAGGAAATAAAGAGGAGGACATACAAAGTCCTCAGGCTCAGGACAATGAGCCGGTGCGTATTTTAGCGAGTCCCCTTACATGTCAGTGCCTGTGTACGGGAGGTGTTGTGCCTCCCCTGGCTCTGGCTGGCTCGGCTATAGCTGTAGGTATATATACGTGCACAAGGACAAATGCCCCAGTCTACAATATATATATATCAATCAGATCTTCGATATTATCCTTTGTTCATATATCCTATCGTATCCAAACGCTACAGCCACCAGCCAAGTTCTTTCAGGATGAAGGAAAGGAATCCTCGGCAAAAGAGGGAAGATGAAGCCAACAGAGACCAGAAACAATACCGCCATCCGACACCGAGACAAATACGAAGACAAAGAAAAAGAAATATGGGAAAAGAAGGGAAGAGTTGTTCACGTTGTGCGTGTGTCACATCTCCTCCCCCTCGTCAGCGTGTCCGCGTGGTTTATCATGGACACATGCACACGGTATGTATGTCGCTCGTTCAATAGCTCGGTACTTGTCTCTCCTTGGTAGGCACGTAGGTACCTAAGGTATGTTGGTATGGTCATGTTAGCATCGGTATCGGTTGAGTGTCGGGTAACAGTCACAGTCATGATACAGGGGCGAGGGACGGATGGTCCTTGTTAGAGGCGTGACCCGCGAAGGGATAGGAGACCCGTCGATCGTCCGAGGTTTGAACCGAGCAAGAGAAAGTTGGCGTTCCTGTTACCCAACCAAGAAAGATGAGAGGGAGAAGAGGAGGGAGGACGCGGAGGAGGAGGAGGGGTATCTTGGCTCGAGATTGGCCTCGGGAAGCGGGGCATCAGATACTCCGTACGAGGAGGTATACGAGTAAGTAACTTGCCAGTGCCACGTACTGCCTAGGTATATGTAGTGGTGTTACGGGCAGGTACTTACATGCACGAGATACAGGTGTCTGGCAGGAAAGGCGTGAGAGACAGAGACACAAAGACAGAGAAACAAGGCTGGGTATCCTGGGGACAGTTAACGACGAGGACCTTATATACAGTGCCTACCTACCTAACGCATGTCACTTGGTGGTTAGTATTCCATCATACATTGTCATACCATTGCCAGGCACATACATACCTATCTACCATGCTACCTATTTACACAGGTAGCATATCTACATGGGTAGCCTGCACACACCATCAAGATTTGTCAAACCCGCATAAAATGACCCTTGGAAGAAGGCCTAAACCTTTCCCCCCCCCTTTCCCGAATGGTTTTGGACGTCGATACCAGGCTCCTCGCAGGGTGAAAAACCCGAGCATAATTTCCAATCCCATTTCTAATATACATACATACGGCAAAACCCTCATTCAAAACCCTTGGTCCCTATTGGTCCACAATGACCGACGGCCTTTCCGCAACCTCGGTTCCCACGACCCTCCCTCCGTGTTTTTGGGAAAAACGTGCCAACTGGCCAACCGGCCAACCAACACAACGACGTATTCGCGTGTCGAAACGACCTGAGAGGAAAACGCTGGGGCCTAGGCACGGAGGAGGAAGAGGCGGGGGAGACCCCGGGGGATATGACCCGGGGGACAGGGGCAGGAGGGGGAGGAGGAGAATAAAAAGGTATGGACGGTAGCACGGGTATTAAGTATTTAGTTGGTACTCGGTAAAAAGAGAGACTACACTGCTCTTCGTAGTCAAATCCTAGCGTTCGACATCCTGTAAGGGAAAATAAGAGTCTGTCTTCTCCTTTCATACAGAAAGAGCGAAAAAGACACGTCTCAAACAGCAGGAGAGTGGACCAGGATATAAATCTGTCTGCCTGTCTGTCTGCCTGCCCCGGATAGCACATACCGAAACATCCACAAACCATCATCGCACCACTTCTAGATATTACCTATATCCTACCTCGCTCATCCGACATTACCAACCACCTAACCAACCGGTGGAGAAGGACCAAAAACACACAAAAGGGCCACTCACTCACTCCGTCCCTCCCTCACTCCCAGCACAGCACAGCACAGCACAGCACATCAACCTCACCAAAACCACACCAAAATCATGGCCCAAGTCCAAGGCCAGTGCGACCCGCGCTTCGCAAAGCTCAAGGCCCTGGTCGAGCAGCAGATCGCCAGCGGGGAGGAACTCGGGGCCTCGCTGACCCTCAACATCGGGGGCAAGACGGTCGTCGACATCTGGGGCGGCTGGGCCGACGAGACGAAAACAAAACCCTGGCAGGCCGACACCATCACCAATGTGTGGTCGTCGACCAAGACGATCGCGACGTTTGCGTGTCTCCTCGCGCACGAGCGCGGCCTGCTCAACGTCGACGACCCCGTCGCAAAGTACTGGCCGGAGTTTGCGGCCAATGGCAAAGAAAAGATCCTCGTCCGCCACCTCATGTCGCACACGTCCGGCCTGTCCGGGTGGCAGGACAAGATGACCGTCGAGGACGTCTGGGACGTCCCCAAGGCGACGGCGCGGTTGGCGGCGCAAGCACCCCTGTGGGAGCCCGGCACTGCCAGCGGGTACCACGCCACCACCATGGGCCATCTCCTCGGCGAGGTCATCCGCCGCTCGACGGGCAAGCCCATGAAGCAGTTCGTGGCCGAGGAGATTGCGGCGCCGCTGGGCGCGGACCTGCAGATCGGCGCGCTGGAGAAGGACTGGCCGCGCATCGCACCCGTCATCCCGCCGCCGCCCTTGGCCTTTGACTTCTCCAAGATGGACCCCAACGGGCCCGCCGTCAAGACCTTTGCCAACCCGCCGACCGACGCCCTGGTTTCCTTGAGGCCCGAGTGGCGCGCCGCCGACATGTCGGCCGTCAATGGGCACACCAACGCGCGCGCCCTGAACCGCGTGCTCTCGGCGATCCCCAATGGCGGCGCCGTCGACGGCATCAAGCTCCTCTCCCCGGAGACCATCGAGCTGATCTTCCGCGAGCAGTCCAACGGCACCGACCTGGTCATCGGCTTGCCCCTCCGTTTCGGTATCGGCTACGGCCTGGGTGGCGGCGCCACGGCCCAGACCCTCCCCTTCATGCCGACAGAAAAAGCCTGCTTCTGGGGCGGCTGGGGCGGCAGCTTGGAGATCATGGACTGCCACCGCAACGTCACCTTCACCTATGTCATGAACAAGATGGGGCCCGGCATCATGGCCAACGACAACTCCAAGCAGTATGTCGAACTGGTGTGGAAGATCCTGAACGAGTAAACGGCCACTCACTTTGAAGTTCGATGGACCAGGGTGAAAGAAAGACGGGGTTGGTTCAGCCCAGCGGATCAAGACAGGGGGGCAAAGTCATCGTGTACCTATGATAAAACTCTCTCCCCTCCATCTAGTAGGTAGGTATGTAGTCAACCTCCCAATGGACCACTTATCTGATAGAGCACTGGTTTGTTGTTACCCCTTTTTCCCTCGACAGTAAATGATCAAATGCCGTGACAAAGCAGAGTAGGGCGGCTGTTGACCCTCAAATAAACCCGCAGGATCTCTGGGTCATTGACGGCGCTCCATATGCTCCTCTTACCTCGACAACAGGTCGCGCTGCAGGATTAAACGAGATCATTCTTGGCCCCATTATAGTCATGTCGAGGGAATATCAGGCTGCGGCTCTTGGGTCGAGGTCAGGTAGCCATTCTCGCGGGATCGACGGCTCCGGCTGAAACATTCAACTGATAGGAAAGCGGGTACCGAGTACACGATGAGATGAAACTAGCGCTAGAACCCTGGAGCTGCTTTGGAGATATTGTCTCAAATGTGACTAGGTAACCTGGAAATGGGTATCAAAAAAGCTCGACACCAAGATGTAACCGCCCTGTGCGAAGTATGCTGGCATGCACCTATATATGCAAGAGATGAAATGAGGTCTGTGAAAGCACAAGTTCATGTCATGCCTCGGAGAGTGAAGTACAGCAGAGCCGGTGCCAAACGAGACACTGCAAAATGTGCGAACAAAGCGCCGCAGGACAGATTCTCTTCTCCGTAATGCGGCCGCCAATATGTGCTGGCTGATTGCGGTTTGGACATAATACCCTATGTTTAGGGTCGTATCAACTGCCAATCTGAAAATCCCCTGCGAATCATCATCTGTAGGCAACCGTTGTAGGAGTTACACCTACTGGATCAGGTGCAGACGTCAACGGATCAGGGGACGGCTGTCTTTGCGCGTAATGAACTTCTGTTCAAAACGATCTTTATCAGGCTTTTGCTCCTTGTCCAGTCACCTCCTCTTTGTGCAATTCTTCATCTTTGAGCTTTGCAGGTGAACACTTCGTCCCTCTCCGTAGAGGAAAGCGGTAGTGTTGGATGTTGCAGGGACCGCCCGAATATAAACGGTAGCCTTATTGGCACCAGCGCAGGTGCAACTTTGGTTTCCCGAAAGAAGCAACGCATTCAACGTGTCGGCGCGTGTAGAGGCGGTCGAGGAGGGCTTGAACACAACACAGATCCTCGTGTCGAGGCAGGGCGATGAGTGGACTTCGGCTGCCCATCATGCGTAAGCTGGACAGGGAGTTGCTGGAGCAGATCACTCCAGGCTTGATCAGCGCAGGTGGTATCGGCAATATAGCGAAGATCACCCACGAGCCAGCCTCACGTGGGAGTCGTATCGCGTCAGTAGACCGAGCAAAGCAGAATATCCCATCAAGTAGCCCTCTTAAATGAGCGGACAACCGGTTCCCCTTTTCAGGTGGCAATGGAAGTGCGCCCTGCGGGTGCCTGCTGCAATCGAGCAGCTACTTTCCTCAGACTGCGTTCCTGCAGAGTCTTGGAATAGAGGAATCCTGCCATATGGTTGTGTAGGTCTTCGTACGTCGTGAAGCCAAAATGTTGGCAGATATTAAGCGCTCGAGGTATGAAGAATTGCTCCGCTGGATGACCATCGGCCGACCAGCAACCCGTGAGCAAACCCCACAAGACAAATCTGGCTTGCATTTCGACAAAGGGATCGAGCTGAGCGGCAGCATTCAATGGAATACAATCTTCCGTCCAACCAACCGCAGGGCACCAAAATTTCAGGGCGTACTCCATCGCCGCCTGTAGTCGCTGCACATTAGTCTTTGCGGTCTGAAAGCCAATCAAGGTACATGCGTGAGTCATGAGGATCAACAGGCACACTCTGACACATTCTGTGCACTTGCACATCAGGTCCATGGCTCCAATGTTGCGGTCAGGGGCAATGGCGAGAAGACCCCGAAGCACTGCTCGGGCTTTGCGGCACAACCATTCTGCGTCGAAACACACTGCTAGGGGGGACAACCACACGACCTTTGCTATCTCGATGCAATCAACCAAGTCTGAAACGATGCGGCCGAGATTCCATGGAAAAGCACCCATCTTCAAAGCGTAGACAAATTGAGAACCCATCCGTATGTCGAGGGTGGCTGCGAGATCGGCGATGGCGTCGGTGATGCCCATAGAACTATTAGGGGCGCGGGCAACCATCATCGAACCCGGGTTGGGATAGCCAAAATACTTTAGATTCTGTGCCTCACGCCGAAGAATCGCCATCCGTTCAGGGAGCATGGGGCCGGGGTCAAATGTGCTTGGTAAGACGGGACGTTTGGCCGTAGATAGGGCAAGCTGATTGTCCACGTGAGCAGCGGTCTCCGAAATCCACCGATCAAGAAGTTGGCTTGGATCTAGTAGATGTAATAGCTTCCCAACAATGTGGAGGTGTTTTCGGACATCGTCATACCGCCCATACTGCATCTCGTTGACGCAAAGGAAGAGAATGTCCAGTATGGTTTGTTTGTCGACGTCTCCTGATCTCGAGCACCGAATCAATTCCTTCCGGAGATAGTGCGAGGCTGTCGCGCGAACCACTTGGGGGTCGTCGGCTGTGGGTGACATGTCAAAGACATGCTTCATCCGAGCAAGCATGGCTGCCATCAAGGAATACAGGTGATGCTCCTTGTAGACACTTCGCTGAACGACCGCTCCAATAGGGAATTGGCTGATGGTGGACCGCACATGTTGGGGCAAAAAAGCCAGTTTGTAGTTGTTGCCGGAGTAGGAATAGATTTGTAGGGTATATTGGAGGACGACGTGGATTCGAGGAGTGATTCGGACCGGCGTACTCCTGAAAGGATCAATACAGTCGTACGAGGTAAAGTTCGCCCTGTAGACTGGGGACGACAGCTCCAGCGCTCCTTCATCCTCGAAGTGATGTTCATCAATCTCAAACCCGGAATCGCTGTCGCCCGCTAGCATTTGCACAGAGAGTGCCTTACGAGGCAATGCCGGTGCGATAGGTGGCAGTTCAGCCGATGGCGCGTCGATCATTGGCGAAAAGATTTGGCGAACGGGCGTGGCATCCTGCGAGGGTGACGCTGCTGCTAGCTCCTCGTTGGGCGACGACACTGGAGAGGATTCATCGCTGCTAGAGCTAAAATTCTTTGTCAGCTTGTGGGAAGCGTGACTCGTGTTGAAAGTGATTGCTTGAACATCCCAATCCAGAGAGGAGGACAACTAGGAAAAACTCACCCTTGTCCGGTCTCTTTCCGGTGCCACCCATCTAGGGCGATACGGCGGGCTGAAGAACAATTGGAGCGAGCAGAAGTGATTTTCTGAGCCTCAACCTTGCGACTCCGGAAATGCTGAGCGTGGCGATTGATCTGTTTGGCGACGGCGCCATCGCTTTTGGACAGAGACTTGGACTTGGGGTTCTTGTTGACGAAAAGGAAAACTTGACCTTCAGTGCGGTCTGATCCGCGCGGCTTCTTCATGGTCGATGCAATATCCAGAGACGCTCATGCTAGGCCAGGGGGGGTTTGACACGGCGGCACTCAGGTTACAAGGCTGGTGCGCCACTTGGAAGAAATTGCCGGCCGCCTTTTGCGATAGAAGAATACCAAATCTCTTTCGATTGATGGAAAGATGGTGGGGGCGAACAACGATAGTTCTGCTTGATGATGGTGATTTATATTATTGTAAAAATCCGAGAGTCAGAGACAGGATTGAAATTCTGAAATTCCGGGGTCGCTCAAGATGGTCACTAAATGGCCCCAGTCTGCGGGCCAAGAGTGAATCGGAAGGATGGGAGGAAGGAAGGGAGGGATGAGAACGAGGGAGAGGGGCGTTCAGTCGGTCAATAGGGTTTTTAGTCAGTTGGATGGCAAAAGGCGACGATGATCATCAAAGAGTAAGGGGAGAAAAAATCAACCTAGGCATTAAAAGAAGAAGCCGGCGAGTGGGAACCCAGCAGGAGTAGCGGGTATAGGATGAGGAGAGATGCGAGTAGCTGCTCCGTTGCTATACGAGGAGAAGTATCTAAGTAGTAGTTGGTGAAGGCGAAGGTGGAATAAGAGGACAGCGTGAAGGGGTGAAGGGGTGAGAAAGATGATGCTGATGGTCACCAGAGCCAGAGGCCCATCACGTCAGGTCGTCAAGTCTCGCTGAATTATTGACTCCGAGGCAGGGACTCAGACTCGGGGCAGGTAAAGGATGAGACTTGAGAGAAAAGAGGGGGAAAAGGCTAAGTGATTGCCACTCTAGCTCCTACTAGGTACGAGTAGGTAACTGCCTAGTAGGCACTTAGGTAACAGTACCACCTGGCCCCAGGCTTGCATCACCTACAGCTAGTACCCCTAAGTCTGCTGGGCCGCCTGGGCCACCTCCATCACTGAGAAGTATCTCCAGAGATACCTAGTAGGTAAGAAGGCATACTCCTAAAGGCGCCTAGGGTCGCGGCAACCCCATGTCTTTGACCAGGCTTTAACTGGTTGCCTTTCTACCTGTTATGTATAGGGTAGTTGCCTAGTGTACTTGCAGGTTATGTACCTACTCGGTAGATTTGGTTTGGCAAGGGTTTGGCCATAGTTTTGCTAGCTTCCATGCGACACAGTGTAAGCGAGCCACCTCAAAACCCCTCTACCCTTCTTCCCATCTTCCCATCCCTCCACTCCCCCCCGTACCTTACCTATAACCTACTCGGTTCAGTACCTAACTGTTTCCTGCTATCCTCTCTCCACCCTTCCCCCGGCGCACTTGATCACCCAAAATTAAAACACAAAACCTTGTACGATGCCGAGAGATGCATGCTGATGACCAACCACACGACAGCAAATGCCCATCAAAAAGTGGAGGAGTGACCCGGCTTTGGAAGATGAGAAACAAACGTCTGGTTAGGTCCTTTGTCAGACGGGGCTCCTCATACTACCAGTTCAAAAGGTACCAGGGCATGCAGGGTCATAGGAAACTACCTTGGAAGTCCCAACAGCAATGGATAAGAGGTGGGGGAATCCTGCCTGCCTGCGCCCTACTCAAGTGCGATGCCCGCGGGGGAAGACGCCAGTCATATCATTGAAGAAAAGCCGCGTTTCCTTTCGGCTTTGTCTTTGATCCCTGCCAGCCTGATTTCCCATGCACCTTTTCATGCTGACTACCGCGTACAGCCCGCACGACTGCTATCCATGACTCGGCTGGATATTGATCATTGATCCTGCGTTTAACTCTCGACCAAGAGCTCGTATCTGTCGTTTTGTCCCGACCCTGACTAACCTCCCAAAGTTGTCACCCGCTGGTTGGCCATTACCTCAGAACTCACATCATTCGACCGTCCAATACATCTCCCAGGACGCTCGAGAGTTCCCGATCAGCGAGCTCATAATCGATTACCACTCCTTCCTAGCCTCACCTGGCAAGTATTGAGGAGACGAAATTTGGCCAGAGACAACAGCAAAAAATTACCGAGAGGCCCCGTGAGAGTTAATCAGTCTTTGTGCATATCGCCTTCCCAGAAAAGACCAACGAGCACGATCTTTGGGCTCCATTGCTTCTGGTTCTTCTTTGTTGTTTGTCATCAACGACCCCCGATCTCGGGCTGTGTGTCGGGTGATAAAAGCCGGAGGACGTGTCATACTGCACACTTGCAGAGATACCAAGACTATCATTGGAGATGGACATGAGTGCACAACCCGGAGATGGCCAGCTGTCGACCAGCAGTGTGGAGCACCTCTTAACATTCTCAACTGGCAACGACATTCAAGCCAGAAGCCCTTCGCCCGATATGGCTACAAGCTGCGAAGGTCATCGTGGTTGGATCTTACCCGGTCAGCATCCATGTCGGTGATAATCTGGTATTAGGCATTTGCCACTGGGAAGACTGATGGTATCTAGTGAGCATTGTGTACTCGGTAAGTATCAAAGAGCACTCAACCCCCCCTGACGATGCATAAACTCGTGGGTCAGAGCCCCGAGGATGGAATAAATTGGGAACACCCACATCACGATCAGAATTCCCGTTGGTGCCGTCAGAGCTAATACCACCCAAACCGCCATCACCAGCCGTCATGCTCACAAGGCTTATAAACCACAGCCTTGTAGGGGCCGACTTTGCCGGTTTGCCCCATACTCTATGTTTGTACAAGACATGTCAATGCCATGCAGTGCTGATCTGCTGACTTAACCTAATTCTAATATTGCAAAAGTTCGCTGTTGTTGATGTTGAAGGCTTGCCTATATGCGATAGAAACACTCAACTTGCCCTATCAGAGCTCGACCCCCGGCAACAGGAAACAATACAGGTGATTAGTCTCCCGGTCGGATTAATACTAACCTCATAGCGTGTGTCACTCTCGACGCGAGACATAAGGTGACATACGAGTAGCAACAAAACACTCAGAAGCCGAAAGCACGGGCCGCGAAGGTCATTCATTGATTTGGGGCTTCAGGGGTGGTGGATGGAGAGGATTTTCGACAAGCGTTTGATGAAAACATGTCAGGGACAAACTACTTGTAAGCGAATAAGCGCCTATACGAAGGAGGTATCCAAGCATCCGCTTCAGGCGTGCCATGATCCATGGCTCCAGGGTGCATGGACCATGCTGGTCCCTTTGCCGTGAACCGATCAGCGCTGGCACAACTGGCTGGTACTGGGCTGGCTGGGGTCGGCGGTGGCATGACTTTTGTCTGTCTGACAAAACTCCTAGGATCTAGGATCTACGGATCTGCGAATTCCCTCTTAACGAGTAATATCTGCTCCTCGAACCGCCTTTTCGAGAGCGGTTTGTTTAATGTTTCATTCCTTGGAGCCGCCAGCAACGACAGCGAATCTCATCCCCCCCTGGACGCTGGACACGGGCCAGCCACCCAAGAAACAAATCAGCGAATCAAGCGCTGTCGTCTTCTTTCGTGACTTGGACAAGCGTCGCGCATAGCGAATAGCTCCTCACGGGTCAGAGACCATGGGCCGTGGGACGTGCAGCTGCGTGGCTGCATGGCCACTTGGGCTTAACCGAAGACGGTATTCGGTGGTCGTATCCCGGATGGATCTCTGCAAAGTCGGGCCGCGTTGTCGCATCTTTTTGACTTTGTGGAGTTTTTGTATGCAGTTACGAAGGTAGGTACAGTGGTACTTTCACCGGTTCTTGACTTGAGACTTGAGACTTGTAATCAAGATTCCTCTATGAGTACTCGGTACTCGGTACGAGACGGTGGGAAAATGCACGGATGATCCGTGGGTGTGGGTGTAGGCATGGTCATGGTCATGGTCAAGGCCATTGGTATCTTTTCCCCCTTCTGAAATCATCCAGCATTGACTGACCAACTGACTTGACTGACTGACGGATTGACGGGTTGCAGTTCTATTCTATTCCATTCTAGTTCGTGATCCATGATCCCATGCTCCATGCTTCCAGGTTTTGATAACGGACAAGTAGGTACACAATACGAGTGCGTGTAAGCAAAGCTTTGCGGAATTCGGGTTTTCCGCGTGTGCACACGTAGAGGCTCCTTAGCTCCTTAAAACCAAGAACAAAAGCCAGGCTGGAGCCTGATCTTTCTGGAGCCTTGCAAGCGAGAGTGTGAGTGTGAGAGCGAAACGTGCACAGCAGCTAAGTTTGCCACAAAAAAAAAAAAACAAGGCGGACGGAGATGGTTGGTCATTCATGCTACATACTCGTACTGACTGCACTTGAAAGACCTCATGGTGCATGCGCGTGGACCTTCGTTGACGGTATGAATGATTCATGTGTCAGACTCAGCGGGATGTACATGGACTTGTAGAAGCTCCCACTCCTATCCCTCCAGGGGGCAGGGGACCCATCCACCTCCGACGGTCGGGCCGGTACGCGGTGACGCACGCTCGGAAAGGATCAACTCGTTGTCCGCTCGTAATAACAAACAGCTAGATATAGACAAGCCCAAGGTCGACGTCCTAGACCTGCCTGGACAAGTAAGTGGGTGGGTGTGGTGCGTGAGCATCTCTACTCGTAGGCGTGAGGACTAATCAACGCGCATCGGTTTGAAGTCTCTCTCTTGCCCTGCTTGTTGCGTATCTGCAAAGCGACAGGGGACTTCGATACAATCCGCGACGTGGCGTGTTAGTCCTCAAGAAGCCTGATCGCGGTCGGGGTCATGATGTTTGTAAGCCTTGCAGCTCACGGGGCCTTCTGTAGACCTAGCGAGATCGCTCATATGGTGGAATATCCCTTTTCAGGGGCTTGTGGACCCACGGCTCAATCGACCGATGCAGATGGTGAAGTACCTACTCGTAGGCAGGCTCCTCCACTTGATAGTTCCTCAAATGCCGTTGATCGTCCGTGATGTGCTTTATCAGAGTGCATTGGGCTTTTGGATTTTGAGGCCTGGGCAGTGAGATACTCCACGTGTCAGGGCACGGCATAAACCAGACAGTATACTCCATGCAGATTGACAAGGTTGCATTGATTTTTTTGCCACTCCACGTTGTGACTTGAGAGCGAAGGCCCACGGCTGGACGAATGAG